TTTGTAGCAATTTGAATGCCCAGAAGAGTGAAGAAACTTTTGCTTTTCTAATCCTTTATTTGTTGTAATGCCTCCTAACGTGTCAGCTTTCTATAATCATCATCTGATGACATCTGGAAATAAAGGAACTAAAAGTGTTAAAATCTGGCATAGTATGAAAGTTAATTTTCTACATTCCCACTCCCACGGGTTAGTTCAACAGCCACAGAAGCAGGAAACTCTTCTCACAATATATATGTTAAAGATGATGCCTTCTGATCAATGATTAGATGGTTGACAGAGCTAGTGAAGGTACAGGAAACATCACGTATTGGGAAGATTTGGTAGAGAAAAGAATTCAGATTCAAAGAAGGGAAATGTAAAAGCATAATAAAGATGGAGGCAGTCAGAAAAAAATTAATGAATTTGTGAGAGATTAGAGGCATGTGAACATCTGCATTTTGAACTTGTTCAAACAGAGATTCATTCAGTTTCTGTTTGTTCAAAATTTTCATTAAACTGTGTTTTATACTAAGAATTAATTGTAACAGAAAAGCAGATATTCTGTATGTTTGAAATTCCCTTTAGCATGAATAGTGGTGTAGTCTTGTATATGAAAGTGCCAGGGCATGCACTTGAAGGTTGAAAGAAATGAGCGTGTCTCATATGAGGCCATTCTCATCGTTGCTTAATGATAGCTTACACTTTCACATGCAGAATTTAACCGTAAACACATATGAAGTCCACATAAGTAGGAAGCTGATGCTTCTGCTTTGAAACAGAGAGTTCAGAAAGTAAATTGTCTGTAAGATGTCTTTTATACTACATAATTTTTAACTGGTTAGTGTTATTCTCGGTACCGTGTTAGAAGACAGCATTTATTTTACAATATTTGAAGTAGATGACGAACATTAGGACAAGACACAGATAACATAAGTATTAGCTTCTGTTTTGAAGGTAAAGTTGCTAATTTATACGTTAGGAACATTATGAAATCTTAGCTTGTGTAGTAAATTCAGAACTTGTGTGTTAAATCCAACAGTACTCAGATGTGTCAGCACGGGACATCCCCAGTCTACAGAACTGGCTGGAGGTGCTACTTTCACAGATTCGACCAAATGCAGTTGGAGTTGTTGATGGCTTTGACATCTGTGATGAAATATTGTCATCTGCACTTGGCTCTTATGATGGAAGGGTCTATGAGCGTCTGTTTGAAGAAGTTTCCAAGAGCCCTCTGAACAAGCAGTCTGTAAATGTATCCTTCCAAAAGTACCTGAAACCATTTCTGAAGGCCAGTCTGTAAGAAATTAGTTTCTTAGACAATTTTGTCTACAGTATACAGTAGTTAAGAGTGCCTTTTAGATTCCCTTTCAGCAATTGTAGTAGTAGTAAACCAGTATCAGAACCCAGAACTATTGAAAGTTATTGACAGATTGAAACTTCCCAGATAAATACCACGTTATGATATTACTGAATATAATTCAGATATTTTGTTAAAATACTTGAAAATATATACAAAGGTACCTGGAACAAACATGTGTATTGTTTGGTTTTCAGTTTACAGACGAAATGGGAAGAAACTTCCCCTTTCCAAGTGATTTCATTACACCACTTCATAACCAGTTAATTTCAGTATTCTTTTCTATGTTGGGTGTGGCGATAAGAAATTAGGTATAGGAAGGAGTGAAAACTGTTCTCTTTATATGTAATGAGTAAATTCTGTGCTCACACAATATCACTATGTACAGTACAGCAAGGCAAAGTCATTATCCTGCCTGCAGCTGAGAAATGAAAATCTTCAGTGTCCATTCTTTTGAACTGGGAAATAATCCCCAAAAGCTAACATTACCTCTTCCTTCAGAAGGAGATTCAGTTCATTACCACAAATATTTTAATTGCATATACAATGTGAGTAGGAAAGCATCATGAGGGGAAAGGAGCACTTGTGATACCCAGGTATAGGTTAGGTGGATCTTAAGAAGACAGGGTGAGAGAGCGTGAACTGGATTCATGCGGCTCAGGATTTGGGCCTAGAGCCATGTTCTTGTGAACAGGTGATGAAGCTGCAGGTTCCATGATATTTTAGAACTGGAATCATGTGTTCAACAGCACACGTGTAGTGAAAGTTGAAGCATATGAAGTGGAAGACATTGTAGGATTTGTTACTTGTGAATATGACAGAAAGTGATGGCTTGCATGTATGTTACAAATGGCAGTGAAATTCATGAAACTTTTTTGTATCCCATGGTCACTGAAAATCTTCATGTATTCCCTGCCAGACATTCTGTGGGTCCCATCTTCAAAAGTGCTTACAAGTGGGTCCAGAGGTCACACATGTTATCAATGAAAAGGAGTCCACTGAGAACTAGAATCCAAGCTTAGCAGATTTTAGATAGCTACCCTTCCAGGTAATTCCTCATACTTGGATGAAAAATTAATTTTAACTTTCTAATGAATAAGCCTACCACTTTTTTTCCCGCCTTCTTGTTAATGTCATATTACCTGTGCTGTTTACTGTAATCTTTAATTCAAGTGACCAACGATGTGTGTAACCTGTAGTTGTGCAAGAAAAAGTGTCTCATCAACCCATTTATGTCCTAATGTGACATTTTTTAAAAATGTACTTGAATCACAAAATGTTTTATAAAGAACTTAATGAAATCTGGTTGTAAATTTTTCATAAATTAAGGTCAAGGTCAAAACTTTAATATTAGCGTACAATATTATGAGTTACATACCAAATGAAAGCTCCACTTAAGAGCTATTAATTGGTACAAGAATGAGTTCTCTGTATTAATTAGGACCTGAGGTAAAAACATTTTAGTGAATCAGATTGTAGGACATTTTAAGGAAAACATCAGAATGCAGTAACTTTAAAATTGACATTAGAAGGAAAAACTGCATATTTATCAATTTATCACTCATTCATCAGATTCTGTAGGCTTCCAAAATTTCATTGAATTCCAAGGTGGTCACGTCACCTGCTGTGTTTTTTGACATGGCATGATTCTACTACTATCTTTGCAAGACTTTCAGGTCTAACAAATTGGTGAACTTATAAATACTAAATTTATAGTGCAAAGAGATCAGCGTCTGTCCCTTGAAAGAATATGAAACATTTCAGGAAGATGGTTGTCTTCTGGGTTATTGTGCTGTATAGTCTGGTAGAAGGTTACAGACGTTTCAGAGGTCCTTGCTGCCTCCATCATTAGGGCACAACAACCCAGAAGACAGCCATCTTCAGACTCACCACCATGAAAACCTCAAATCCTACAAACATTTCATATTTTAAACTATTGTATTAATGAAATTATTGAGAATCATTCTGTTATGCTGAATGTTTTAATTTACCAAAAATGTAGTGTCAACCAAAATTATAAGGTGTTCAGCTTCTACTGAGGAGATAATAAATTTGAACTTTACAAGTTTCTTACAGTTTTAAAATGTTATGAACTCAACAGTACAAGTTGGGACAAATCAGTAATGCAACTGGCCACAGACTGGATGACTGGGGATCAGTTCTTGGCTGGTGCAAGATGTTATTTTTGCAACATTTTGGCTTGAGGCCCACCCAATCTCTTATCAAGTGAGTACCTTTCATTTTAGCCTGGCAGCAATGCAACTGGGGCTTGAAGATCCTCCATCTATTTCAATGTTTAAGAAAGATTTGGAATGTTACCTCAGTTCACCTTATGTTCCATCACAACATGGTGTTTAGGCATTGGCTAACTTTACATTTAACTTCACAGTAGGGCCCCGCTTTTCGGCGATCCGCTAATACGGCGCTTTTCAATTTCGTACATATACATTAGGGCCCCGCTTTTTTGGCCCCATACGCTCAACATCTGAGTCACAGAAGTGCGTCCAGCGCCATTTTCTCATTGCTGATTTAGTCTGTTTACAGCTTTTGTGCGCTTCGCGTGTCTCTGTATTTCTGGCAATTTTTCAAAGTTATTACTGTATATTTATATAATATTTTTTATATAGTAATTTCATATCATTTTCTTAGGCCTGGCGCTATTGTGCACTTACTATATGATAGTGTAAACATCCTATTAGGCTCTGATATGGATTTGCAAGTGAAAAAAGGCAAAGATCCGCTTTTCAGCGATTTTCACTGTTCGGCGGGGGGTCTGATCCCTAATCCGCCGTATATGCGGTGCCCTACTGTACGGTATTACATATTAATTGCATTCATTTACTCATTGATATTAAACATATTTTGGGCCTATCTCAGCAAGTAAGTTGCCATGATACACTCCACGTAGGTTTCACAATATTTTTTAATTTGGAATCTGAGAGTGTAGATGTGGTCTCCACACTGAAACATAAATCTGTCTCCAAAACGTATAAAGTAGGAACAGAATTGTCTCCTGTTAAGGAACTGACTGGAATAAAATTTACTGTAGACCATAAGCATTGATTACTACAGCTGGTACCTTGTGCTGACTGACAAACATGGAAAATAGAACTGTAAGGGGTAACAAAGAAGGTTTCAAAGTAAGAGATATAAGAGTGTAAACTCTGACATCATTAAGAGCTGCAAATTTATTGTACAGAATGATAAACTGTTGGCTGATGACTTCAAACTGAACTTTCTCTAAATATATAAATACTGATAACAGTTGCAAGTTAATTTCTAAACACATACATGTATTATATTGCCATGATTTACCAACTAAAAAAATTAGGGCTGTGCTGCAGCACAGGCATTTGGAGAGCTGCTAGTTTCTTTGCCAGAGAGGCCTGGGTTTGTTCCTGGGGCAGTCCACATGGGATATGTGGTGGAAAAAGTGGCACTAGCACAGGTTTTTCTCTCAGTCCTTAAGTATTTTCCTGTTGTTATTATTCCGTTACTACTTCATATTCACTCGTTTATCATCTGAGGCACGGACAGTGGGCCACAGAGACAGTCTCACTTCATCATAACAATAAGGAACTACAAAAACATAAAATTAAAAAACTATAAGAAGTATTAGACTGTAGTGCGCAGTAACAAAATATATTTCATTCAATGCCATCATTTTGTGGATCAATTTGCCTTGGCCAGCAGTCTGAGGGAATGAATGATTATTATAGAGAAAATTGAAGTGGAATATGGACATTTTTCAGGACAGACATGATACAAGTGTGAGTGCAGCATTCAAGTGTTTTTCATGTACATTATTTTTATCTGTAGAATAATTGCAAATGTATTATATTATTTTGAACAGTGTGGCAAATGAATTTTGCAAACCAAGACTGGGTGTTTATGTATTTGTGGCAAAGAACGGCAGTTACCACTACAAAATGAACTGCGAAAATTTGTTGAAGTGGGTTACAGAAATTCTAGTCCCCAATCTTCGACCACACCATCTAATTGTGTTAAGCAGTACTACGCATCAAGTTGAGGCGTGGGTGACGTCGTAGTTGTATGAAACTTATTGCGATTCAAGCAATTGTAAACGTAAGACAGCAATCTTCGTATTGACCGCCTCGAGATCTTCAAATACAATGAACACGTGACTATTGACTCGACTGCACGACTTCTACTACTATTAGAAACAAATATTGTATTTGTGCTGTGACGTTCTACATCCTTGGCTTGGGCCTAAAAAGGTTCTGCGGAATGTTTATAAATATTTTTTTTATTATTCAGAACTGAAACCTGCAAATAAGTTTGGCAAGGCGTGGCAAAGACTTTCTACACCGTAGGACCCGCCCACAACGGTTATACAATGGTAATACCAATGTATCTGCCGACTGTGTTTTATAATTACCGTGTTTTTGAAATCACGGATAGTGAGACTTCAGTTATGTATTTGATGTTGTGTGTGAAGATAAGGACGACTTATAAGCCAAGGGGCACATCAAATAGAAGTCACAGCGTGAACGAGATAAGATCGAAGCGTCTGTATAATTTCAGCTCTGCTCTCTAGATTTCACTTCTTGTTAACACGCAAAATGGGTTCAAGGAGGCCGGAAAATCCAGACATCAGTAAAGAAAGAAAGACATGTACATTTAATCCTTTGGAACTGACTTTTCTTCTAGATGGCGGCCGCAGAAGAACGAAGGAAAGGAGACACATGGGTAAGTAACAGTGAAATTGTTTCAAATTGGCCGACTTTGAAGGGTATGAGTATGTGCGGAATGAAACCTGAAGCAACAGGAAAGCCGGAATTTTGTTATCACAATTTGTTGCAGTGAAACGTAGCGGTATTGTTATTCCCACAACGATTACCGTTCTACCACAATATGAAATAAAATTAATTCAATTTTAACGCATTACACAATACTCTCCACATATATAATAGTAATACCAATAAAACCAACACCATTCTTCTTTTCTACAAAAGACTGGTTGAAAACTACTACAAAGAGCCGAAAGGAGAGGCGAGAAAAATTCTGTAGTACAAAAATTGCTAATTAGCCATCACTTATTGAAACTGTTTGTAGATCAAATATGTAGAAACACGCAAAAATAATCAGTTATAGAAGCCCCTTGAACGTTGAGGACTGGAAGTTGTTACGTAAGGGTTTTACGGAAGCAAGGAACAGCGGAAAAAATTAATAAAGCTTGCTTTCCTGTTGCTTACTTCCAGTCATCCGTTTTTATCTTGTGTTTAGATACTGGTTTTATAAGTCGTGTAGAATTCTGGCTGTTTACCACAATTTTGTTTGAACTTGCTGCTTCCATTATAAAGGTTTCTGGCCAAGGATATGTGCCAAGTAATTTGTCCGTATCTATACGCGCGGCAAAGTCACCCTGACATCCTTTTTAATATCAAGGTCCACAACCTGGGAATTTGTGAAATGGTAATACTACGTCGTTCATTGTTTTAAAATGATAAATTAACCACTTAGTAACAAATGAAAACAGCGTGGCAACTTCGTGAAATAGAAGTTTCCTTCTCGACTTCACATCCATAACTGCATTTCATTGAACGCAATGGTGATAAAGCATCTCCTTGTTTTAGACCATTTTGAATAGGAAATATGACAGACAAATGTTTACCTTACGGACTTTACTATAGGTTTCGTTTAAAAACATTTTAATAAGCCCAACTAGTTTCATGCTTCTCTTTTAACTGGATTATACACTTTCTTGAAGTCTTTGAATAAGAATATAAACGAATAGGCTGTATATCGCATCCATCTCATACTCGTGATTTTATCATCCAAATAATATTTGCTAAAGACTACAAAATGTGGAGCTTCTCAGTGTAGGCAACTCTCGGTTTACGAACATTCGCTCTAACGAACGTCACAATTCATTCAAAATTTCGTAAAGTCGTCAATAGATATAGTTCCTTATAAAACCAAATGTCGAATGTATAGTGAACATAATTGTAAAATTTAAATACATAAACTTTTAAAATATGTGTTTATTACAATAATTATCAGGAAATTATTATATGATAATTGTACTCAATTGTTCTTGGTTAATAAAACTAATCTAGCCAGTGGCGTACGTTACGTATCGTATACGATAAACCATAACCCATACATACATTATAATAAAACGTATTGTATAGACCATTCGATGTTTAGTGCATGGTTTTAATGCTTTAAAATGGCTGCTAACGTATACTATACGTATCGAAAAAGCTCAGGAATGCAAGATACACATAACGAACAAAAACGTATAACGAACAACGTCTTGTAAAGGAACTCGTTCGTAAACCGAGAGTTGCCTGCATTATTTTCTTCTGTTTGTTGTTAAATCCTCCATCTTAATTTCAACAATTCTCAGCACCCTGTTCTCAGATACAGTCTGTGTTCAAGCCCTAATTTAAGAGACTAAGTTTTACACTTATAGAAAATGAAAGATAAAAATTGTGATTTGTATATTTTAATCTTTATATTTGTAGATGACAGAGAAGAAGACAAAAGAAACTGAAGTGAATAGTAGCCACTATTTCCAGAATTTAATTTGTTCTTAATTACTTAAGTAAAGCAATTTTTATTTGTTAGTGTCATATGCAAATATCTTATTTTTACCACATTTTCAAACAAATTATTAGCTGTGCTTTGGTCTGATTTTGTCCTGTGTTCTGGTGGCAAGAAATGTTACATGTAGTTTTCTCTGACTTTGCTTTCAGTCAAACCTCAATACCAATGTCTAATTGTCTGTGTTTTTATTTACGGTATTAATGTTTCTACCTGGTAAATTTGCATCAGCATAAACCAGACAGTGAAGTGTGCCATTTATTTGCAGTCCTTCCTGGTCTTCATGGAACTTCCTAATGCCATATTATAAAGTAAATCTGAAAAGCAATAGCAATAAGATATCGCTCTGTATCAGACTCTGTGTAAGATTTTGTAATATGCTGTATGTTAATGTAGAATGTAGGCTAAAAACAAGAGATTGCATTATGTTGTGTATGATATAAGAGGCAGTGCTACATTGCAAGTGTTATAGTCATCCACTTAAAAATGAGAACTATGTTCCAACAAATTGTGACAGACAGTGCTTCTAGGAATGAATTCTTATTTAGCACTAACAGTCTTAGTTTTTTCAGTAATGGGTATTGCCTTCTTTTCAGAAAACTATTTCCTTTTGGATCCAGAGCTTAAAGATGATGTTCCCATTGACTACTTGAGTCACAAGGAGAAATATGAAGAGGCTGTGCGTAAAGCATGTATTTTGCATAAGAAATATAAAGAATTTCAAAAGGTTACAGGACAAATAGATATAAGCAGGTAGTGTATAGCAAACTTAATAAAAAATTGCCAGTTTCTTATCTTGAAATATGGGCCTGTAATTTTGGGACAGAGGGAAGAAAGATAAAACAATAATTGTCAGCTTTTATTTGGAGAATTAATTGTAACATGTTTAGAAACGATCAGAATTTGTTGATTTTGTACTTGTATAAAGTCTTCCTGTCTCTGAGAAACTGATCATTCTGGTAATATTCTTTGCATGGCATGTTCTCTATTTGTGAAATTCTTCAGAATTCACTACTTTGCAGATGTATGTAGTAATTTTATATTGATTTATTAAGAGGAAGATGCATTGGATATGTTCATTGTTTACAGGAGTGTTGAGTGTAAACATGAAGTATAGTATTCATCATCATTATTTGGTTCCCAGTATAGGCCTGATTGGCTTAATGTGGGTATTATGAAACAGAATCTTCACATTTTGATGTTCACCTTCTAGGCTGTAATGCCATGTGGACTTGTAGGTAGATACCAATGTTCAGAGAAACATTCTCTGTATCATGTTTATTCACTTATTTGTGGTTAGCTACTTATCTTACAGAGTAATGTCCTGTAATTTGTTTTTCTGTTGTTCCTTAGTCCCTCCAAAAAAGTGCTGTGCTAGTATCTTAGAAAGGTTAAATCATATCTTTCCACATCCTCTTTGATTCATCATAATTTATCATAATAATACATGTATATATAATGTATCTGATAAAGCATCATTAAACAAACCAGGTTTAAACATTTTATAAAACTCATTTCAGCCTTCTTATTGTTGATGTGTTGCCATATGATAGTTTTGGTTCAACAAGTGCTTTATAACTTCATATTTTTATGTACCTCATGACTGCCGGTGGTTTGAAAACTTTAAAAAGTTCCTAGTGCAATTTAGTACATCACAGTGGCATGTGTGATATTAAATCATCCAGATTGTGTTTTCATTTTATTTATTCTTGGTTTATTTAATGACTTTTCAGTTGCTTAAGTTATGTACTTTTGATTACGGGTTTGAAACCTGCTCAGGGTATATATCTGCATTTTTCTGTGTTATCTTCTGTATGTAGAGGCTTTATATTGGGCAAATACTTCACATCATAAAACTGCAGAAAATGCATACAATAGGGCCCCGCTTTTCGGCGATCCGCTAATACGGCGCTTTTCAATTGCGTGCATATGCCCCACGTGCTCAACAGCTGAGTCAGAGAAGTGCGTCCGGCGCCATTTTTTCGTCGCTGATTCAGTCTATTTACAGCTACTACTGATATTAATTTTACTTTCATATCGTTTTCTTAGGCCTAGCACTATTGTGCACTTACTATATGATAGTGTCAACATCTTATTAGGCTTTGATATGCATTTGCAATTGAAAAAAGGCAAAGATCCGCTTTTCGGCGGGGGTCTGGTCCCTAACCTGTCGTTTATGCGGTGCCCTACTGTATAATTAATTGAGAATTTTGTTACAAAGTCCTTTGTTATTACCATTATATGGGAATATGGGAGTTAAATGCCCATACTACAGACTGCTGGCTGGACTATATCACCAGGGTTCATGCTTTAGTGGTATGTTGAAATGTACAGTGAATCACATATAAGCAATGACATTCAGATGACAGAGATTAATGTCATAATTACAAATTCTTTGTTGGGAATAAATAATCTGTCACTAACTGGTTAACCCTTTGTCATGTTTGTGTTACATACTAAAATATAGTGTATAAAGAATGTTCAGATTAATTGGTCTGTTGGTGTCAGGATAACGTGAATGTAAATGGTGTACCAATGAGATCATTTTTTTGTTTTAAATTTAATCATTGTTGTTTTGTTGCTTTGCAGGAATGGAGTCATGACCCACGTAACTAATTCTATCTTCAAGGATGGTTATCCATTTTATTTAAATACAATTATGTTTGCACCTGCTGTTATTGGTCAGGGAACACCTGAACAGCAAGCCATATGGTTGAAGAAAGCTCTTAACTATGAGATAATAGGAACATTTGCTCAGGTAAGAACTTGTATGGTGTCTACATTAATAATTATTCAGCTGGTTGAGAAATCATCAATTTATTCAGGAAATATAGAGGTCTGTTACTGTGTTCACAAACACTTAATATTGGATCTTACATTAAGCCAACTTAATTTATTAAGCACCGTAACATTTGAGACTGTGGTTCTCAAGATGCTAAATGTGGTCTTTTGGATTGTGATTCCTTGTAATCTTTTTGTTGGTTTCAAAAATTTCATAACTGTAAGATCCATTTTAATATTATCCTTTGAAGTGGTTTTCTGAACAAAATTCCATATGAACATTTCATTTCTATATGCATACCATATATTCCACTCTTTTATTCATCTTGGCGATGAAGTATAATAATTATAATAAATCTGGAAAATTATACAGAGTCATCAGCAGTAGTAGACTTAGTGTTTTGAGATTAACATGCACAAATATTATTTGTTGTTCTTGAGAACTCCATTAGTAAGATACTAAGATGTAGGATAAGAAAGAAAATGTAAAATAATTTCAGTATTTTGTCAACAAGGAAACAAGGCAGGAAATGTTTTTGGAATCTGAAGTAAATGTCAAATTTAATGCATTCTTGGTTCACTTTTCTCTATTCCAGAAAAAATAAAATCCACTTTTATGGGATAAATGCAAATTTGTGTTAGTAGATACCAAACAGGAGAGTAATAAGGGAAGCTAAGAGATGGGAAAATGGTGGGTGTATATTTAATGTAGATAATAACATGGAAGCAATGTGACATATAATAATAAATAAATAAACAGAAACATTTCACAAAATATGAAGAATATATTGAACTACAATATGAGTTAAATAAAATAAGAAACCCATTGGATGTACCTGAATTTTCCAAATCCTACTTCTCAAAAGCAGAAGATAAACTTTAAAAACAAAAATGTGATAGAAATTCTAACCAACTCCCTGGTAGCAGAACCCGCAGGTTCAACACCGTCAACTTCAAAGCCCGCCGCCGGCCATGATACTGAGCCAACTCCATCCATTTGCCATCCTCACAGCCCACTTCTCTAAGATCCATCTTGATGTTATCCTCCCATATCCTTCTTGGTCTGCCCAGTGGTCGTTTCCCAGAAGTATACCCTACCAAAATCCTGTATGTATCCCTTGCTGCCCCCATGCATGCTATGTGTCCAGACCATCTGAGCCTCCTAGATTTCACTATCCTCACTGCTAGGTGACCTGTACAATTCACGCAGCTCCTCGTTATGCAGTATTCTAAATTCTCCACTTACTTCATCCCTCCTAGGTCAAAATATCTTCCTGAGCAACTTGTTTTCAGACACCTATACTTTATGTTCTTCCTCCAAGGTAAGAGACCATGTTTCACAACCATACAAGACAACAGGAAAAATTATTGTTTTTTATATATCCTGATATTCATTGTTTTGGATAGTAAACGAGTTGATAACAGTTTTTGAATTGAATAAAAACAAGTGTTCCCCAAATGTATTCTCCTCTTAATTTCAGCATGGACCTAATTTTTGTTTGTTATTGTTGTTCCCAGATACTTAAATTTTGAAACATTTTCAAATGATGTGTTACTTATAATTATGTTTCGCCGTTGTTGCTGATGTTGATCCTGTATTGCGCCCGTGTATTTAGTTTTGTCTACATATATCAGTCAAAAATTTATCACTGATAGAAACAATGGGATCATGTGGGAGGCAGATTGTTAATCAAAATATAATTAATTTATGGCATTATAAACTGAAAGACCACTTTGTAGTGAATATTTCATGACATACTGGAGATTCAGATTGACAGGCAAGACCTTCTTATTAGGTGTTCATTTTATATACTTTGTACAAAGAATTCATGAAAAGGAAATGTGTTTATGTTTACTGACTACTGATAACTAAGCATTCCCATATGATGTCACAGAAAAGGTATACAGGATCCATTGTGACAGATGTAATGGAAAATAAAAGTAGATTTAAGTTACATCTCTGCTATATTTACATTATGTTGGCTTATAGGTTCCTGATAATAACTGTACTGTTGCTTTCTCAACATTATTTCTGTAATCATTGTGAGTAATAAATCTTTCTCAATATAAATTCTTGGTGTTCAATTTTAGACTGAACTTGGACATGGGACTTTCATCAGAGGCTTGGAAACTACAGCCCATTATGATCCTAGAACACAAGAGTTCATTCTCAACAGCCCAACTTTAACATCCTACAAGTGGTGGCCTGGGTCATGTGAGTATTCTGAATCTTGCAGGTAAATGAATGGAGACTTGAAATCAGTGTTTCCATCACAGACACATGGAAGAAGCAAGTTCACCTCAGTAACAGCATTCAAGTTGTCAGAATGCGTTGCATAATGGCTTCATGCAGGAATAAAGCTTGTCGTCCTTGTTATTTATTTGTTCTTACAATTTAAAATGTTGCTGCTAGGTACTGTCAGCCCAAAGTTTCATGAAAGTTGTTAAATTACCACATTTTTAGGTTAATGGTCATAATATAAAGGTTTCTTTGATGGATGCCACATTTGTTTACACTATATTACCACATTTTACTGTGTATGGCTCTTTTAGCTTTACTGTGTTCTACTTTGTTAGGAGGAATGGTGTTGTACAGGTTTTACCTCTCTTTTTCCTTCTTCCAGAGTTCATTGGATGCTGGAGGTTAGTTGTCAGCTTCAGTCACTAGCTGCTTTATTTCTTGCAGAAGAGGCTCAGCTACTATTTGAATAGGAAGCTGGGTGAATCCCAGAGGCCATATTAATGTGATGGTGATGAGACTTCTGCCCTATCAGGAACCCTATCCCAGTCTTTTCAGCCTGTAATATCTTGATTCATGTTGTATAGTGATGTGATTAAATTAAAAAAAAGACATTGTCTTCCATTCTTGTTGCAGTGGGACATACAGCAAATTATGCTATTGTGGTGGCACAACTGCATACACAAGGAGTCTGCCATGGAATTCATCTCTTCATTGTTCAGATCAGAGATGAGGAGACACATGAACCATTGCCAGGTACAAAGGAATGCAGGACTTGGAGCAGTGCATACTAAGAGAGAGAGAGAGAGAGAGAGAGAGAATAAAACATGCACTTATGTTTTTAATTTATTGATGTATCACGGTGTTAATTTGATTTTATAGATATTCATGTTGAAGAAATAGGCGGTGTCTAGTCAGTGCATTATTGTCATTTATGTGAAGTACCATAACATATTTTCTGTTAACTTTCTTTCAGGTATTAAAATTGGTGAAATTGGTACAAAATTGGGTATGCATACTATAAATAATGGCTTCCTTGGATTTGAAAATGTTCGCATTCCTCGTGAGCACATGCTGATGAAGTATTCCAAGGTGCTGGAGGTGTGTGACATGTATGGCTGCCATCTCAAGACTTCTTTTTAAGTTTTATTTTCAAACAAGTATTAAAACCACCGTCTACTGTTGTCATATTTTAGAGTTTAAAGCTATTACACCATGAGCAGCATTTTCTCGTGGATTGCCATTTTTTATTAAATTTAAAAACTGAATGCTCCATGAGTGCTGTCATATTTTTTCTGAATTAATATTTTATTTTTGTAATTAATATATGCAGGGACTATTTGTTTCTGCTGGAACACAAAGTATGCACTCCTCAAATGGGGACTCAGTGAGTTATTTCCCGGTGTATGGTGTTTTATCAGTTGGTAATGGTTGAATGTAGGATGAACATATGAGCTAGGGTACCTTACTCAGTAGTGTCTGATTATGGACTGGACAACTGGAGTTCGATCTGTGACGGAGACAAAGGGATTTTTCTTGTAGCCTGTGTGTCGATATCAGCTTTGGGACCCAGTCTCCTATTCAGTGGGTGCTAGGGGCCTTGGCCTTTCCCTGAAGGGGTAAAGCATGGCTAGGACATGATGCTGACCACTCACCCCCATCTGATGATGAGGTGAAGAATGAATAGGAGACTATGCCTCCTCTTCCTCCAATCATTTACATGGTGTGTAGTGGGACAGTTTTGCTTTAATGAATGAATATAGCTGGAAGCCTTGACATTATTTAACTTGTGCCATAGAAGATTCTGAAAATGATGTTTATGTTCTCATGTTATATCTTCTAAGACATGATTCACTCTTAAGTAACAGTTGTTTTCAGTTCCAAAGAAAACCCAGTCACATCCATAAAGAAAATTAGTTAATTGTTATCACTGTCATGGACATTTTGACAGAACCAATTACAGACGTTAAGTCTGTTGGCCATTTTATATTAATTTAAGGTCTGTACTTAAAGACTTTTGTAAGTACAAGATTTTAATAGATTAATTGTAGTTCATGTTGTCTCCTGGGGTAGCCATCAAAGGAACATCTTTGACATGTTTAAGTCTACCTTGTATTTGATCTGTTACAACCCTGCATTGTCTTTCAGGCTGAAGAAAAATTGTAATGTGCTGTTAAATTTCACTAAATCTCCCCAAATCCAATTTTATAAAAATCCATTCAACAGTTCTCAAGTTACATGCATACAGACAGACAAATATGGCAAAGCTAATAGGCTTGTTTCTGCCACTTTTAGTTGTGAACATGCCTAGAAATGCTTGACCCTGACCCTGCCAGGAATCTGATCTGGTCATCCAGCCCAAAAAGTTAAAAGGTGTAATTATGTCTTCTGTGGAGTAATTTATATGAGAATTTGCCATTAAGTTATGTAATATTGATGCCACAGTTGAACTGGGGGACAAACAGTCTCATTCATCTTGCCAATACGATTTTGAAGAAGGAACTCATCCTATAAAGGAGGAATGTGTTGTTCATTTGTTATCTCTGCATTGCAACACTGTGAAATCTTGTAGGACCACATAGCTTCACAACCCAGAGAATGGCAATCAACATATCACTGCCTTAGAAACGTATTTTTGAGGAATGTGAAGATTGTATCTGTATCTGTGTTTTCTGAAATTTAATGCTTCACTGCATTGCTTAATGCTGTACAGTGGTGACTGGTCATAATTTTTCAGAAATACATAATTGATTGATTTGTTAGTTACTGGTACTTATTTTTCTTCACTACAGGATGGATCCTATGTCAGATCTCCAAGCAATAGGCTGACATATGGAACTATGATATTTGTACGAGTGGTAATGCTACAGCATTCAGCTTTCTATTTGGCAAAAGCATCCACCATAGCAATACGATACAGTGCTGTACGGAGACAGTGTACTATCAAACCAGGGTAAGAGTCCCTTAGAATTCAAGTATTGTCACAAATGACCAGTTTGGGATTGAAAGGAGGAAGTATACCTTCTTTTCAGAATGACTGGAAAACAGCGTCAGTCAGTCACTAATATCATTCCAGTTGCAAGTGTTTCTTTTATGGAAATCATAAATTATATTAAAAAGAAGATCATCAAATTCTACAAGTAATGTAGCTGTGTCTGACTGACGTAAGTATATGTATCATTATCTGAACTAATGTATTATCTGTGTGTATACTTATGTGCTGTGTTTACATGGATGTGTGAGCTCTTGTCTCTGTCCTTCCCCACCAGTATTATAAGGTTCAGTTTGTAACATTTTGTAAAAATGAAATAATGGCCTTTTCTTCTGCCTGCAACATTTTCAGAATAATTGAATATTTAATTACATAAATATGATAGCTTATTCAGGCCTTTAAGTAAAGTGGCAGTTTACTTCCTTGATTGATCTACAAACAATTTTATTTTTTTGTTTTAATGAAAGTATAAAATGTTGCATATCCATTTACAGGCCTAAGCCCTGTAAGGGTAGAATCCTCCAAGAAGACAGTCTGTGTCATACTACATAGGAAGAACATGAAATCTGATGTTGTTTGGTTCATATGAATAAAGTTACAGTTGAAAGAAATTGTTTTAGTTCTGTTTAAAGGAAATGATTTCCATGCAGAAGGTATACATTTTCGGAGGGCTATTTCATATCTTGTAGGTTCAGTATCTTATAATTTCTAAGAATTATTGTTAATTTTAAAATATGAGTGAAAATAAGGAGATAAGGCAATTTTAATTCACCTCAAAGTCATGTTGGCAGCACTGCAAAATGTAATGGATATGAGCAATATGAACATTCTGTCATTTGCACTTAGTTGGTCTTTTCAGTGGTAATAGTGCTATGATAACAATTTGTGATTTTTCTGTGGTTAGAGGATGTGAAAATAGCAGTTAATGTGAGGACACCAGGATGTATGCCATGTCTGTTAACACTGTTTTACCATGTAACTGTTTCAGGGAGTTAGAAGTACAGATCCTTGACTACAGGACACAACAGTACAAGCTGTTTCCCTACTTGGCTGCCTCATTTGCTATAAGGTTTACAGCGATCTGCTCATGGAACATGTACAGTGAAGTTATTGCAGAACTTGAGGGAGATTTGGAGAGACTGCCAGAGGTAGACATGTACAATTACTGATGTAGATTAAAACAAACTTATACTTATCGATTTATCAGACCAGAGGACACGCCTGCTTCAGGTATATAAATGAGGTATGACACACACAGGTGCCAGAGTGTGATTTTCTTATGTGAAGGAACTTGCTTGCCAACCAGCATCTCATTATCCAATCAGGCACAAAGGGAGCAATCATCTGCTCTATATTTGTATGTAATAGCCTGTGATCTGTATGTGAAAGAACTTGTTTTCTGACTAGTTTATCATTCTGAAAGGTGGGAAGATGGCTGGAAACGAGGGAGTGAACTGTTTGTGTTTTACAGATAAGTGTATATGTAGTACCTATGACTTCTAATATGATATTCACCTCATATCAGTACTGGTGATGGACATGACAGCAGATTCTGAAACACTAGAATAACTAATATAGTGCTGCAAATAGCTCCAGAAGTCTTAATTTAAATAATATTGCATTATATTTGCAGCTCCATGAATTGCTGTGCTGCCTAAAGGCTATCTGCACTACTATAGCTGCTCATGGTGTGGAGACATGTCGTCTTTCTTGTGGTGGACATGGTTACATGACCTGCAGTAACCTTCCATCACTGTATGGTTTTGCTGCAGGAGCTTGCACCTATGAGGGAGAGAATACAGTGATGTTGCTTCAGACTGCTAGATACCTCATGAAGGCATGGCAACAGGCTGTGGGCGGCATGGCCATGACCCCCACTGTGGCATACCTCAAGCAAGCAATCTCTGGAAATAATGGTCTACAGTACTGGGACAACTCTACAGCGTGCATTGTCAGAGGTTTCCAGGAGGTAGCAGCAGGGTAAGAGAGTTGGTTCTTTCTTGATGGAAAACCGTGTAATCTGAATTAAGTGAACCTTTAAGTTTCATTATATAATTGTGAAATATTTCACTATATGGAAGTACTAACAATGCACATACTTTTGTAAAATATTATGACCTTTAATCATTTGCTGTGTTGTACAGTTTTTGTAAATTTATGATTATTATAATATTACAGAAAAATAAAGCAGTGTGCTGAGAATATGAGTAAGAGGATCCAGGAGGGGTTTTCTCCTCAAGATGCATGGAATATGACATCTATTGAGCTGGTACAGTGTGCAGAGGTAAGTACTGCTGTGGAACATTGTTAACATAAAATTATCTAGAACAATTTAAAGGTATAAATGATGATTATCATAATGACAATGATGGGGGAGTGAAGCATTTTTCCAAGGAAAAGGATAATTAGTAAGTGTTTTTTTATTGAAATGCAATTGAGGTTCATAATGAAATTATAAGAGGAATAAATTATAGAAATAATTTCAATTTACAGACTTTTATCATTGTGTATACTGTGGAACATACTAAAATCAATATATATAATGTTGCCATTTAATTGTACATATGTGGAACTTGGTCTATTACTTTGAGAGAAGAATGCAGATTGCAGGTGTTCGAAAACATTGTTTTGGAAAATATTTGAATAAGAGAGATAGTGAAATCTAGGAGAGGCCATCATAGTGTAGGTGGTTAGTTGCCAGCTTTTCTCTACATGGGCCTGTGTTTGCTCACATGACAATCCATGTGGGATTTGTGGTAGACAAAGTGGCTCTGGGACATGTTTTTATCTCAGTTTTTTGGTTTTCTCCTGTCAGTATCATTCCACCACTGCTCCATTTTTACTCTGTTATCTGGAGTTGGACAATAGACTGTTTTGTGGTGCCAGTTCTACAGAGATGGTATTCCTCCTTCAGAGCAATAAGAATAGCAGTAATCATGATATTATTAATGGCAGCTGCTTAGAAGTCAAATATGATGCTCAATTCCACATTGCAGAAACACATTAATAAACTGCTGTTTTCTTACTCTGTTGCAATTATCCTCTTAGATATGAATTATATTTGTACAGGCTCATGCCCATGCCTTCATTGTGGAGAAGTTTGTTACCAGTGTGGCAGAGTTTAATGCTTCTGTTTCTTTGAAGACAGTACTGACCCAACTAAGTGACCTGTATATCCTCTTCAGCCTGCTTCACAACTCAGGAGACTTCCTTATGGTAAGAGAGGCATGGTGAAGTTCTTTGTAACATAAGCTCCTAACTGACATAATATTCATTCACCTGTCATACACAAAGCATCACTTGATTGTAGAACTTAACAATTCTTTCATGAGATTCAATAATCTTTATTTTGTAGCACCATACTATGGGGATTTAAACCCTAGAGAGTTTAAATCCCCATAGTGTAGGGCTGCTGGCTGGACTTCAGCTTTGGGGTTAATGGTTTAGCAGTATTCTGGCATGACACACAGCCAGATAGTTTACATGTAATCTATAATATATGGATGATAAAGGTGGTGGATTATAATTTCTTTTTGCAAAAAATTATGTCATACTTGTTGATGAAATTTATTCCCATTATAGTCTCTTCATGATTCAACATAATTATTCCTGTATCATGCCACTTGTTGAAGTAATTCTGGTACACTTATTTAGTATGTAGTTCAACTTCTCTGTTGCACTTTTGGTGATCTGTGACATTTCCCAGTATCTTTTTACTGGTTTGGTACTTTCCAGTTTGTGGAACGGAAATAAAGTTGCTAGGTGGTAAATTTGGTGAATTGTGCTTGGTTGAGAAATCTTGTATGGAGAGCACAGAGTTTCAGCGTACAGTACTGAACATTATGGTCATGTGGTTAGTACAGAAGTTTGAAACAGATTTTCTAAACCTTAAAATCTGAGGTCCCTTTATAAATTAAGTAACAGGTTATATAAAGTAACATTTCAAATGTATGCTGTTGCAGTACAAACAACATTGTTTCCAATAACTTTCCTGATCTGAAAAGGTCAGCAGTTATATCCAACTTTGTTTTCCATTCTGTATTTTATCATCTAGTGCAGCATTTCTCAACCTATGGTACGCGTACCATTGGTGGTACGAGAGCCAATGTTGAGTGGTACGTGAACTAAGTAAGAAAATCAAAAGATAATATTAATATAAATAAGATTTCCCTGAACACATTTGGTTAATGGTAAATTTAGTCTGTTTAGAATTAGTGGTACACCAGTGAAAAGGGTGAAAACCACTGATATAGTGCATGTCCACTTTTTCTTAAAGCCCTGTTGACGAAAAGGGTGTCCACTTTTTCTTAAAGCCCTGTTGATTAATTATATCAGTTATGAGTACTAAACTCTGTGGCATCGTGTAGAATGTATAAAAAGCCTTCCAAAAGTAATTGAATTTATTAATGTGAATCATGTGTCCATTTGTTTGTCATCTACAGTACACAAACATGAAGCCAGTGGATGTCTCCAATCTCCAGAACCAGATGGAGATAATATTATCCCAGCTGAGACCCAATGCTGTTGGAATTGTGGATGGTTTTGATTTCCATGATGAAACCCTGAGATCCGCTCTTGGTGCTTGGGATGGGCAGGTGTATGAGAGAATGTTTGAAGCTGCTTCCAAGAGTCCATTGAACAAGGATCCATTAAATGAATCATTTCAGAAGTATTTGAAACCCTTGCTAAAATCCAATATGTGATGTGATACTGTGTTTCTCTTGAGGAAGAATTCTAAATTTTTTACATTTTATTTTTGGATTTTCAAAATTACAATCAGAAGATAATTTGTAATATTTTAATTAAATTAACTAAATGTATAGAGCACGGTCCTTCTTGAGAAGCAAATTGTCACACAGTTAAAGAAATTTTTACTGAATGTCGGGGTTGGGTGGTTTAGTGCTACTGTTTTCTATTTGGTGGTCCCAATTTCAAAATAAAATATCAGAGAGAAGCTGTACTGTCCGAGTTTCTTTTTCTGGCTCTCCTTAGTGCTTCCATGCTAATGCCAGCATGGTATTTCCATTTACGCTGTGGTCACTTCCTTTTCAGTTTATTATTCACCAGTCATGCTGTAATTTGATGCTGATAATGTGAGCTGTTGAAAGAGCTTGCATCTAATCATATTCCTAAACCAGATGAATCCAGTTCATATGCTAACGAACTAACTAGATGGCTTACTGAACTTACCAAAGCCCACCACCAGACCCTGTCCTGGGCTAACAAAATCCAGTCTCATTCAACTCCTATCTCCAATAGATCCCACCTGAGATTATCCTCCCATGTATGTCTAGGTCTCCCCAGCAGTCTCTTCCCCTCAGGCTTCCTGACCAATACCCAGTGCACACCTCTTGCCCCATCCATGCATGCCATATGCCCTGCCCATCTCATTCTTTTTGGCTTAATCACCCTGACAATAGCAGGGTAGTAAGCACCTATGAAACATTAATAAACTGGTACCAGATTACATGGTGCAACATTTCAAAAGAGTCATCTTCGTACTTGCAGCCATCGGAACCAGTATTATTTTCTCTGTGCTCTAAAGGTAAAGTAGTTCCTATTCTTATTTAAGCATTATGCAATGAAGATCTCTGTGGAAGCAAAAATATAGCTGCATGTATTCTTAATCTCAGCTTAATGGAGGTGAGTAGTCCATGTTATGTGCTAGTCACTTCACCCCTGAAGCAACTGGACTGGAGGGATAGGTGCAGAGACAGTATGGTGTCAAAGAGAAGATATTAGGAAATGTACACATATAACAATTGTGGCATATTTGTTCTATTCTAGATTTTGAATTCCTTAATTATTTCTTAAAGTATTGTAAGTAGTTACAGTAGGGAAGGGCTGTTTGTGATGATGATCACAACTATGTGCTGGGGATAATAACTGGGAAATGTAGATTATTTTTTTCAGTATGACCATTTACTTTCTTAGCAGGTTGTGGTTGTTTGGGTGGCTTGAGTTTTGTAACAATGCTAGTGATGTCAGGGTTATCACCCCTTTTGAAAAATGCAGTTGTAACCAGTTACTCATTGCAGTACTCTCCTGAAAAAAATGTGACAAGATGAGAGAACTGCCTTGTAATTATGTCATATTTGTTAAAAAAATAGAAAATTTCACTTGTGCTTACATGGGCATTGTCAATCTATATCTACCATGTTTCTTGATTTATGTGGTGCAGTTGGCCTTATATCGCTAAACTGTTATACCCACAGTTAAAACCCATCCTGTATCAAAGTTGTAGTGGGGGTGGGTTAAATCACATATTCCTGTACAACGGTTAGTTGTTAAAAATACGTTTTACGTTGAATTACATTCTTACTTGTGTGATTTAGAAAATAGGTAATGATTTCCTTATTCTATCCCATAGGCCTAATGTGTACCATAACAACAGTCAAACTTTGGTTTTCATATTCTGGGGATAACTTCTGTGAAATTTATATTACTTCTTTATCACGATAACTACTTTGGTAACAGGCCGAGGATCGAAAGTTTTACAGCAGTGGGAACGGGCGACGTCTATTGTGAATAATACGAATGACCTCTGTAGTTCGTTATTGACAACAGATCGTGTTGCCAACGTCCTATAAATCTTGCAGGTGAAAAGCAATGGTAATAAAGTATTTGCTTTTTTCACGACTGCCTTCTTTCCACTGTAGTAAATATTAAAATCGTGAAACACACAGCAGGGTTCAGTTTATTAAACCATAAAAAATAGTGTTTTAGAACACACTTACCCAGTCATAAATAAGTGAGCAAAACTGGTTAGGTAATGTTAGAAGGATAAAAGAACACATTAGGCATCCAAAACAACGTTTTCTTATTACAGGTCTGGCTGACGGAAGACGAAAATCTGGACGACCTTTAATGAGACAATAGCTTGGTCACGATCATGAACCAAAAACGTCTCATTTGTTGTTACCAGAAGAAGAAGAAGAAGGTAATCACTCATTTATGTTGGACACACTGCAATCTGCCGATTAGCTGTTACGCATTTAGTAAACATGGCGGAAACTTCAAACAGGTAACGATTAATATCAATAAAATACGATTATTGTACTCTAATACATATTATTACATAGTTTCTGCGAATTTTAATGTTTTGTAAACTGTCTTCTATGGTGCAGAAAAAGGTTTAGCGTTTTTAAATTAAAAATTATTTCTTAAGAGCGACTGATAGTAAACGCCGAAAGGTGTTATGCGCGGTCGCGAAGTTTGAGTATTGATTGAGAATTGAGCCAATTCTGGCCCTACGTACCATGTATGTAAAGTCAACGATGGCAGACTGCTTCCAAAGCAACCTGCCCTGTTCGTAATATTTTAAAACATTAACTAGAGCTGCATATTCCATTTCCTTGTTCTGAGTTTGAGTTTTACATAACAGTTTAAAGAGGCAACTATTTATCCTTTACAAGTGTTACTACTTGAAAGGTGTACGTAGTGGATGTAATTACGTAAAGCCAGGTGAAGTAGAGTAGTTGCGGATGTTGATGTTTATATCATATATGCCAGCATTTAGTGGCTGTTGAAAGTAACTGCTGTATTCTTTTTCTAGGATACCACCTTTGGATGTATCTGTTACACCCAAATTCCTATGGCAGTCCAGTGTTATAAATAAAGTAAGTTTCTGTAACTTTAGGGGCCCCTAGTCTGAACAAGTCAAGGCCTTCTGCCACAACAACAATCTTGTTACCATAAGCATATTCAAAGTTATTATTTGAAAGGTACTGTTTACCATTTGTAGTTATGCAATTTGTATGCAGGGATGGTTTAACTTAGCACAGGATGATGACTTGTGCTTGTGCAAGCTTTTTTATAGGTTGGTTAGAAATATGGGGGAAAATTTGGTATTTACTAGATTCATCAGGTCTCTGGATTGAGGCCAGTAGCAGATTGTGAACACAATAATGAATGTGCAAGTTTTGTAAGAGGTGAAGATTTTATGACTAGCCAGGCATCTCAGGAAGGACTCTGTGCCATGTGCCATGGAGTTAGTTACGTTAAAGTGTGTAGCATACTTTTTTAAGTAGATATCACCATAATGCTGTTTTGGATTTTGGTACCATGTCAGTGTTAAAGTTAGCTCTGAAGATGTGAACAGTTTGTTTCTTTGAAATGTTGGCATCAACCCATGAATCTACATGGTGCCAAAACGTAGAAGAATAACTTAATCCTCAATGTCATGAAAACTTCAAATCTCATACACCATCATAGTGCCCCATAATGACTGCATGATGTCAAAAATGGTCTCCAAGCAACAAAAGATTATTGGAAATTTATCTCTTGTGCAGGTTAACATGGGTAGATGTACATATATTGGCTTTTATAAGTGTATGTTGGCAAAATATAATCAGATACTTAAAGTTTCAGTAGTTACTGGTTTCACTGAACGTGTTTTAAAAAATGTGTTTGGTATCTATAGTTAAGTAAAGATAAATTGACAGTAGGCTGATTGTTGAGTCAGATGTCTTTTTGTGTCTGAGACAGGTAAGAGAGGAATTTTATCTTATACCATTAAGTAACTGAAGACTACTACTGATAATTTACAAGTAGGCTCCTTGTTAAGACAAGATGTTTATGTGAGACTGATGTTATAATGTCATCTTATGTTTTGAGTCAATAAATTATTTAGACACGGGAATTAAAACGATAGCTTCTTTCAGTCTGTAAGTGTTGTATGACTGGGCCACTCGTATTGTAAGCACTTGCACAGACACAAAAGTTATGGATTAGGTCAGTATTTTACTTTCTTCTAAAAATAATTGTATATGTTTGTGTTTACATATTTAAAGCATTTTACGTGTAATTAAAATATATTTTTTAGAAGAATTAAATACTGGTGATAAGAGATGAGCGCATTGTGGCATGTTTTGAACAGCTTGCAACAATTTTGAACTTACCCATAAACATCATTGGCAGCAACTTTGTGGTATTTCACATCATCTCTCTTTTCAGAACTCATTTTCTTTGGATCAAAACATTGAAAATGCAGAAAGGAAAAAGGTAGTGAAATGTAGCACTCCAAGCTATCCTTCGCCCATTGATAGAATCCAATGTGGCAAGCACAAGCGTGCAGAAGCTCTGGGTTGGACTGGCTGGAGAAATTCTTCTTTTGAAGGAAACCAAAGTTTTCCTCGTTCCTCACGGCTGAAGCTGCGTAGAGACGAGATTTATCCAGATACCCCACCGCCACGAATGACTATGGAAAGAATCCGGGGTAGGTAAATTCTTTTTAGAAGTAGCTATTATATTGAATGACAAGTTGCCTGTGCCTAAAGCCACAAGCCTGTTGAGGCTTTTTCTTTTACACATTGCTTTTAAAAAATTTTATATTTTATGACATGTAAGACTAGTGCTTTCTGTTTCACTTATGTAAACTTACAGAGGATGTTTAACCTAAAACTGCCACGCATGATAATGCTTTCTCACAAGTGAGGTTTAAGTAGCTTGTGATAATTATTAATAGGTATGAACCTGACTTCCATCTCAACAGTAGTTATGATATGGTGAGAGAGAAACTCTTTGTTCTGTGTTTATTGCTTGTTATTGCTTAAGTTTCACACATTTTCACCTGTGTTGTCAGATGGTCTTATTTAATTTAGATTTGTTATATTACTATCTACAAATGTGTTGTGTGCATATGTATGGAATAACTATTAAAAGTCGCCTTTTTATGTATTAATTAGTCTGAGAAACAAACAATGAACACTCTTCTGAACATAGCTATGAACATTTGATGTAAAACGGGACACTTTCTGAACTTAAATATAAAAATAATACTGAAAAGGTGATGTGACAGTAATCAAACTGATATTAAGAATTGTACATAGCAGAACATATGTTAGAAAAATCACTAAATTAAAGACACGTAAAAATTACATTAAAAATTAATAATTTGATTTGAAATTTACTTAATGATAGCCTCAAATTCTCTGAATAAGACAATATGGGCATATAGAAATGAACATGCCTAGTCTGACATGAATCATTCTTGAAAATAAGGTGTAAAGAGCATCTCTGTAAGAAAAAATAAAGAGGAGTCAAAATTGACACTGTGTGTTTTTAACAGTGGCCACATGTATGTAAAGTTAGAGGAAATGGTTAAAAAAGATTTACTATGCAGAAAAGAGATGGACCATGGATAACAAAGAAAATGTCTGCACACATTTTTATAAAAATACAGGGATGGTTGATCAAAGAGCAAAGTTATGTAGAAACTGATAGCTTATTTGATTTAAGATTCTATATACATGTATGTAAAATTTACTTATTACTATGTAAGATTTGAGGTTATTACTTATTACTACTTGGTTTTGTGACAAATGTACCTGCATACAAGGACAAATATTACATTTCTCTGTCTGTAAATATCTCAGTTGATCAGATGTTATGTCTGAGTGTTTAGCACTCCTTTTTTATGTTTGTGAGGTCTCATGTTAAAACTAGAGACCCACTATCCCTGCTGTGGTTTTTCATGATTTTCCCCTGTCTTTCCAGGCAAATGCTGGGGTAGTTATTGAAATTAAGTCACAACTATTTCCTTCCAAATGAATTATTTATTAATTGTCTTATAATTTTACATTGTATAGTCTGAGCTATTGTCAGCATTGTTAAATAACCCGTAAATAAAATAAGGAGATAGCTCTGTCAACAGTAGACTGCTATATTTTTCTCTGTTATGAATTTTTGGCCTTAGTCAAGACAAGAGTCAAATGAAAGATCAATAGAACAAAAGAAACAAAGACATTTCTTTCTTTCTCTGATAAGTGGACATTATGAACATAGGAATGAAAATTTTCAAAGATGATTGAGTGTGTTTCTGTTTGTTGTAGGAGATGGGTTGAATACTTGTAGTTTCTCCTCCGGACGTGTGCGAGGCTCATTTTCAACAAGTCGTTTCTCAGATCTTGGAAACATGAAACCAATCCAATCATCCAATGACCTTGGCTCTAACATCAGATCTCTGCAAGGATTTAATGATTCTGCATGGTCCTTCAGCAGCAGCTTTGTTAGTGCTCTTGGAGGAGCTAGCAACAGTTTCCCGACAGCAGCCATGAACCCTAACAAAGCTGTATTTACTATTGACAACAAGTCATCCAAGGTAATGCTGTTTTCATAGAGTGAAATACAGATACAGAATTCATAACCATATGTTCATTGCTTTTTAATAATATTTTCACATAATCACATTATAGTAAACTCCTGATTATCTGGTTTGCAGATTATCTGTGCACATCTTTTTTTCTTACATAAATGCAGATGTGTGTACTTGAACTTTTGACATCTTTCTGTTTCCACATTGGAGGGGGTGGAGATGGTTGGTTTTGGAAAGGTCTACAGAAGATATGGTCAAATCGTTTTTTGGTTGTTTATGGTAGTATTGGCGGTGGGGTGGGGAGATTATTTCTAGTGCTCATGGTGGTGGAAAGAGGGGATGTTACAGGTGTAGTTGGTATTTTAAAATGTTACTGTCTTACCGTCATTTTTTTATGATGTATTGTTCATTAGATGAAAATAATAGTTAATGCTTGTGGATCCTGAAAATCTTAAGAAAATTATACTTACAGTATAACAGAAATTCATATTAACTGAAAAATTTGAGAACAGAGGATTGGTGACAGGATTAGATAAAAGTTATGGAGTAAGGATTGAGAGATTGCATTCTTTAAACTGTTCCTCAAAGTGTCAGTTGTGTCAAAAAAGTAATGTAATGTGTGAAGTTTTGTGAATGCACCAAACAAAATATTTAGATTATCTGTGTTTTTCAAAAATTTATGTGTTTTCTATATATTGTTGGCCTCAATAATTGTAAGTTTATTGTAATCTTCTGTAGCATTTTAGCCTGCAGTGTTGTTCTTATAGATGAACAATAATAGTATAAAAATTATATAGCTTACAAATGTGGAAATAATTTTGAAACTGCCAGACAGTAAAGATATTTTTTGCTTATATCACACAGTCTAATTTATTCCATGAAATAGAGTTCTTGCAAAAATGATTGTCACTCAGTTGGTAAAGAAATTTCCCATCTTTTATGGTATCTGAAGGAACATTATAATTTCTCACAGCAGTGAAGATGTTGATCTTGCCGTAAAAATTATGGTACCATGTGATCTTGCAGATGGTTACCAGTGTTTCGGAGGAATGCCAGAAGGCTAAAATCGACATTACCATCTTCATAAGAACCTGTTAGTGTACTTAATCTTGAGTCATTTCAGTTCAGTCTATAGTGTAAATATTTGTCTCCTATTTTCACCTTGACCCCCCAAGTGCAAATCACACAATTTTCAGATATTAATTAACATTAAATGATGTTAATCTTAGATCACTGAAGAATGGAACATCTGATTGTGGAAGTGTGGTTGTTTCTATAAAGAGTGAATAGTAACTTCATATCTCTGTAGTATGAGAAAATCTGATGAACTTAGAGTACTAATGTTGGTCTACAAATTCTCATCTCAGATACTGTTCTAAATGAAAGTAATTTCATATTATTTTCACTGTAGATCCTGGTTGTTAATGGTATGGCATGCAGTCTGCTGGGTTTCACACCAGAAGAGTTGTGTCAGATGAAACTGCACCAGCTGCTAAGTGGCCAGCACAAGACACAGCTCACTGCTCTATCTGAAGAACAACTTGATATCAGGGAAGGAAACATGGTCATCCTGAGTGGGAAAGTGGTCAGTATAGGTCATAATTACTTAATTACTGTCATTCCAGTCTTCTGGCAAAGGTAAGTAAACAACAGAAAGAAATGTTATAAGTTTTGATGAAAACACATGATTGTCACACATATCTTATTTGTTTGTGTTGCCCTACACCAATAGCTGTCCCTTTCAATGTTTCTTGATTCCAACAGAATAAATTGTTTTCATTTGGGTATTAAGCTAGTACCCGCTATGGTGGTCTAGCGGTTAGAATGCTGGCCTTGTAATCCTGGGGTCCAGGGTTCGATTCCCGGTGGTGCCTGAATTTATAACTTGTGTTGGGCAAGGCCGTGGTCTAGGCTTCCCCAGTTTTTCCATGGCATCCCAACAATTACTCCATACACACAGAAGAAGGCAATGGCAAACCACTTCTGTATCACCTGCCTAAAAAACATATATGAACAGGTCCCAGTCCGAGAAAAGGATGGAAGGATCCTGTTCATAATATGTTACCAACCTCCTGTAAAGGAAACGGCGTAATAAAAAGAAATTAAGCTAGTCTTGCATCATGTCTTCTCTTGGTTTATGTTAATTTTGGATGCAGTTTTATAAATGCTTATTATTTAGTTATCCCATGTATGTTGATCAATTTGACCCTTAATCTTATTACTGTGACATTTGGCTTTAGCTGAATCTCCATGTATTTCTATATACTATGAAATTCAGCTTTAGTCTGTGTTAAAGAATAATATTTTTCTTAAACTGTTATAGAACTTTACTTTGTGAGCTATAAAATACATTCTTGTTGGTCTGCATAGTGTTGCCATCAAGTGTGAGGAATTGGAAGTTCTATGAAAGTGTCACGTGGCTGTTGAAAATTTCATGATTCTGCAGCTTCCTACTGCTGATTGTGACCTCCTACTTTTATCTTGATTCATAGTCATTACTCACAACTACAACAAAGAGAAGACATAATGCCTATGGTTCTAGATGTATGGGACATTCTGTGTACTTACACCATTACCATACCATGAAGCTGAAGTGACATGTAGATAGACAAATAACTGAATCAATTGTTTGAAGTGATGAGATCTTTGCATGGGAAAATTCTTAATTCAAAACAGTGGTTTTTCTTGAAATATATTGTATGTTGCAACCATATAGTCTAGGCCAGCGTTTCTCAATCTGTGGTATGCGAGCCAATGTTGAGTGGTACACGAACTAAGTAAAAAAATCAAAAGATAATATTAACATAAATAATTTTCTCTGAACGCATTTGGTTAGTGGTACATTTAATGTGTTAAATTAAAATTAGTGGTACACCAGCAAAAAAGTGTGAGAACCCCTGGTCTAGGCTGTACATGTTTTTGTAAAAAATGTTTCACTGTTATAGGGAGTTAGTGGGAACAAATTACTGTCATTAAACTTTTCTTCTGGAGTCTCTCATTTAAGCATACAGAACTGCAGTGTTCCTCCAAATGCTATGGTTAACACTTGTCTAGAACATGCTTTTTTACAGTCTGTGGTGTTGGTTTTACAGATGGAAATGGTAACGAAGGATGAGAAAATTGTGCCTGTCTCACTCTGGTTGAGGAAGTTGGAGACAGAAGGCAGATGTCTAGCCGTGGCTGAACCTGTTGAGCGTAGAGTGGCTCAGGTATGCATACAGTAGAACTAAAATAGGGTGGTGTTTAATACTGTTGATACATTTCTCCATCCCTTGCAAATTATTGTTGTATGCTTATTATCAGAATATTAAATCTAATGTATGTCAAGTTTTATGATTGTTTATATTATTGTCTGCAGTGTTTATCATTTTGATTTATGAACTGGTGTTTTCTAGATGCCATAGACTTTTACTTGTCTTGCTCTTATCTAGAGCAGAAATATCATTATTAAACTGATGCCAAGGTGCTTATTGTAAAAGTGGTTGTTGAGATACAAATAGGTGTATATGAATAAATTATTGAGGAAGTGTTTTGATATATTAATTTTAGGGATCTTTTCTAGCTATCTCAGATTCAGATTCTTTTTATCCTTATTTATGTCTATAACCAAATGCTAATGAAAGGAAGAGACCACTTGGTAGACCTAGGCATAGGTAGGTGGACAATACTAAAATAGAATCTGGGGAAGTAGGGTTGTAGGGTGTTGACTGGATTGATCTGGCTCAGGGTAGAGCCCAGTGGTGGTCCTTTGTGAACAGGATAATGGGTGTTAGATTATGACTTATATGATTTGTAGTAAGGAATTATGTGTTATGCAGAGTTTTTTGCACAGAGTATTTATTTAATGTTATTTTAATGTTTTGCAGCTTGTTATGGACCAAACTGGCTGTATCATATCAGCTGATTCTGAGACATCCGTCATTTTCCAATATGAAGAAGATGACTTGGAAGAAGTGGACATAGCAATGTTGATACCTGCTATCAAGCTACCTGGTAGTGAAGAACCTTTAAATAAGGTAACCTAAACTGCATAAGCAGTCACTGTTATCACTGAAGTGTCTTAAATTCCTTCTTTTTCATGTTTCTGGTCGTTGACTATAATACAGAGGGGCCCAAAAAAATGTATACACACTTTAATAGATGTTATCTATGGACTTTTTTCGAAGTTGAATCGAATTACGGTAGCAATGTGTAGTATGATGTTCCCTCAAAAGATGTCGTTAATCACATTAATGCTAGAGTCACCATGCGACCGACAAGACAGTCAAGAAATTGAAATTTCATGCGCAGCAATCTCAGTGGACACTTTGGCCAACGTTGCTGAAGCAGTAGTTCGCCGAAATCAGAAGTGTGTGGACACTAATGGTGACCACTTTGAGCACCTGTTATAATTGTAGAAGTCAAACATGACTTATAGTCATCCCTTGATGTCTGTATAAATTTAGTATTAAATCTTTTATAAAGGTTTTTGTTTTGTTGAAGTGTGTATACATTTTTTTGGGCCCCTCTGTAGTTGTAAATTGTGCAGAATTCTACGTATCAGGAATTTAATAAATTAATATGCATGTGCTCCTTAAATTTTTTTCTGTAATTGAGTATCATCCTATATATCTAGGCTGTCTTATGGTCAGGTATGTACGGTATGTTGATTTTCAGTTCAGGTATTCTCAGCACTGTGTCTCACATTGAAACAATTACATTTATGGCTTAGGATGTGAAGAAGCAGAAAGCTACTGGTCGGACGAGGGATGGAGCTACCTTCCCCCTGTGCTTGAAAATCAATGAGCAGATGTCAGAAGATAAGAGCATGGATAATGCTACAAATGTTCTGTACTCAGTTGTGATTTGGGTGAGTACCACAAATTGTTGCAGTTTTGAGTTTCAAGAAATGTGACATTTCTGTTGAAGATACAAAAACAGTGATGCATCATTTTAGGCTTTTTAGGCTGTTTTCTGGTGGTTCATTTAAAATTGCCATGTTAACTGCATATGGTATGCAGCTTCAGATCATAGGATGATTGTAAACAGTGAATTGGGAAGGAACTGGTCATTACTTAATAAAGGATGCTATACCATAATTTACATGGAGAAACTGAGTAACATACAAAAACTTTGATCGAGAATAGTAGGACGATTGTGAATGATAAATTGAGAAAGATGTGAAGGAAGCAGGCAGAACCTCTTTCAACGTACTGTACTAATTCCAGAATTTTCCTGGAGAACTAATGAAATTTATAAAAAAATCAGACAGATTAGCCTGCATTTGTGTCTAATTTATGACATGCAGGTGAATATTTGTTAATTCAAGCTGACTGAGATATTTTGCTTCACTAGCACCAAAGGGCTAACAAGCGTTAATGAGTGTGTAATTGAAATGTGTTTCATTGTCTTTTGCAGGTATTTGCCAACATGAGTGGACTTGTAGTCATTACTGAAGAAGGTTTAATTGAAAGTTGTAATCACCACTTCACACACATGATGTTTGGTTATCCGCAGTCTGTGTTGTTGGGACAGGTATAGTGCCAAATTTGCAGCCACCAGTATATATCTTAAAATAATGCATCTCGTTTCTAGTGTCACCTGAAGTGATCCTTGTTTTGCCTTTGTTCCTATAGAGAATCACTACCATTATACCAAATTTCTGTGAAGACCTGGAATACTTGGGTGATACTACTGTGACTTTACATCAGTTTGATTTGAACAAGACAGATGATGATAATGACAACAGTAATTATGATTCTGCCTTGGAGAACACAGAGCACGATAAATCGAAGAACAGTAGAAAAGAGACTGCAACTGTTGAACTTGATAGGTCAAGCAAGATGGTGGAAAGTTTGGGAGTGGAATTGCTGGCCAAAGGAGAATGTTGCTGTACCAATGTAACTGCAAATAATTCATTAGCTTCAGTTGGTGAAATTTTGGATTCAGTGAACAGACTGAATTTTGGATGTATCAAGGACAATACTAGGTAAGTATTTTGCCAGCAAAGTTTATGAAGATTATTTTTAAATCTGAGTGTATATTATAGTCTGTACAATATGTAGCTGACGGATTGGTTAGAAACTGTTGAATCAAATGTAGTGTTTGGAAAGTATGGGGTAAACATGGACAGATCATTGCACAACAGCATTTTATTTGTATCAGTGTATTTGCTGTAATCTTAAGAAGGAGCCAGTTTGTTAAATAAATTTAATTTTGCTTAGTTTGTTTGTTTAATTTATATTGATATGTGTCAGTCAAGCTCTGGCCGTGTTCACCTAACGTATTTGCTGCCTGTTTATTGTAAAGAGGAATTATACTGTTCTGCCTTGTTTCCAGCAGTGCACACTTAATAAGTCAAATATTTCTATTTATTCTTTAATTTTCAGCAGTAGTTTGTCTCTGTACTGCAGTGATGAATCAGTGAAGCAGGGCTCCATCTTTACAATCGGTACATCATCTGTTGGTAAACAGAGTTCACCTTCAGAGCATTATGAAAGCAGTAATGCAAAAACTTTACCTCCTAAGTCATTAAATATTGTGGCTAGTAATGCAGTTTTAGACATTGAAAATGGCAGCGAGAATGGGGAATTGACACCAATTGTTTCGCCACAAAATGACTTTGTTGATTATGATGACAACTTTGAAACTGCCTCAGATGGTGAAGATGATGATGAAAGCAGTATAGAAGTTATTGAGGATGGTGAAGCTGAAGGTGATCTTCCTGTTAATAAACTCAAAAGTAATAAGTTAGAAAGTATAAATTTGCCTTTGAAATCATTTTCTGGACATAATTTACAAGACTCTACAAACAGAAGTGATGTAGTGGTTGAAGTTTTAGGTATTCACGATAATTCAGATGCAAGTGGGTCTGACAAGGAAAATAAATTGGAAACAAGTGAAGGATATGGAAAAGACAGAAACTCTGAGAGTGGTGTTAAATATTATGAACAGAAAGAAACAGGATCTTTGGGGGTTATAAAATTTGATGATGCAGATGAGTTGAGTGCAATTCCAGATTCAGCTGATTTTGTGGATGAAGATAATTTGGATCACACAGGTCAAGTTATGCTTATGTCCTCTACTCCTGCAATTGGTAAAAGACTGGCAAGAAAGGGATTGTCAAAGGATTTGGATAACAAAGGCGAAGCAGGAACTCTCAAGAAGTTTGTAGATGGAAGTTATGTTGGATTTGGAAGGCATCGTGATGGCTCCAGTTTAGGTGAGATTAAGAATGGTTTGCCTTTTTCTCTGCAATGACATTTTCACAGTTATTTTCAAAGTTTTTAGCATACTTATTGTACTGTCATGTTCATCTGTATGTATCTTTTCCAAATAACTTTAGAATGAGTGGATGAATTTCTCTATGAACTTGATGTGAGTATCATGCTGTTAGAAGCTACCATCTTCATATTTTTTTAATTTCCTGTCATTGGTAGAAACATTGTGGTGGCAGTGAAACTTCTGAGAAGGGAGAGACATTATTATTCTGTACTGTAAGTCCCTGAACACTTATATGATGCAGTATTTAATAAGGTCACATTTTACCTTATTTTCTTAAGGAAAACAAGGATTTCATGCCCATACTAGTTAACTACATTCAGTTAGTGGCTGTGATGTAATAAATATTATTTTGTAAATATGGTACAATTATCACTCATGATTTTTTATTTAGTTTTCATGGTGCATTTTAACACTCATGTGTCATCACTTACATGTGTGACATTAATCTCTATCAAAGATGGCTGTCTTCTGGGTTGTTGTGTCATGTAGTTTTGTAGAAGTTTACTGACATTTCTGAGGCTTTTGCTGACTCAATTATCAGGGTGCATCAATCCAGAAGACACCTATCTTTATACACTGCCATGAGAACCTGAAAACTCACATTATTCTTTATTTTATGGGAAATAAGGGGACTTAAATTTCCGTAGTACCAGCCAGAGTGTAAGTTTGGGATTAATGATTTAACAATATGCTAGTACGATGCACGGCCAGCTGGAATGTATAAGCTGCAACACATTGTCAGTGAAGATTATAAGTCCACTTGATGGACATTCATATAAGTGGAACTTCTGATGCTGAAATATCAGCATTAAAATATATATTTGAAGGACAGGTGAAAAGTTATATGCCTTACAGTATTTCTTATGTGCAAGGAGTTAACAGAATGCATGGTTTTCCTTCAGATATTGTGTATCGAGTACGTGGTATGGCACTGTCCTGTGGAAGACTTGTGTATTGTGTTTGGGTGTCAAGAGACCCTGAAGAGATGGGGGAAGGAGGTCGATATTGTGGTGGGAACCTTACGCTAACATCCAGTTTCAACAGCACTGTAGACAACTCTCTGGGGCAGGTAAAGCTTGTATGCCATACCATTTAACTCGTATTTTGACTGAAATTTATGGTGTATACAATACAGAGATGAAATGGCATATCAACACATTGTATATGAGTTACCTATGTTCATTCTTATAATTTAAATGCCATTCATTATTGACTGGATATGAAAATTATTTTATTTTGTTCTGAGGTACTTTTATGACATCATTTCAGTTCAGAATAGTTTGTGTATATGGTCTAGACATGGATGATTATTTCAGTTTACTTTTCTTTTGTTGGATGTTTTTTAACTTCTTCACTGTTGTAGCATTCAAACACAGGATGACATGGGTGTTATTCTTGTGTACTGTGTGAGCCAAGGAACCATTTATTCTTCTGTTTATAACTGTTCAGGAAGGGGAAGTGTCCATCTATCTTGGCCTCCATAATTTACTTGCAGTGTGTGTGATATAGGTCTTTTAATGAGAATGTTGTACCAATTTTTATAAATATTCCATTAATAGGTAAATAAATTTGATAAAGATGTGAATTAGGTTACTCACAACAAATTTACAAAGGAGTTTTGGATGATTTTTATGTCTGTAGGCGATCCGCTCATGTGCTCAGAGCAATGTGATTCTGCAGCAACAAAGTACTCAGCCAGGATCTGTATCAGTACTAAGTCAGTGTGATGATGATCACACATGCGGAGATTATGGGGAACACTACACGACACTTCAGCAGATAGGCAAAGGAGCATTTGGGTATGTGAAGATGGCATTCCGTAATGAGGATGGCTTGCTGGTATGTATTATTTTCTGAATTATTGTGTTCTGTTGAACTGCCATTAGTCAAGAATTTTTTTTACATAATAATAAAATTGCATACTCATGGTAGTTGATCATGAACAGGAAAATGATATTTTTTAATGTAATGGGTTTTCTCTTTCTTTCTAAATTCACATGTTTATATTGTTTCATTTGTATTCAGGTAATAACAAAGTTTATTCAGAAGCACAAAGTTCATCAGCAGTCATGGGTTGAAGATCCCACACTCGGAAGAAAAGTTCCGCTTGAAATTAGTCTCTTGACCACACTGAAACACCCCAATATTGTAAGTATTGGGATTCTTATATTGCTATATTATTTTATGGCATGGTGCTTAAGTTCAGTGACAACTTTAGGTTTGTGCTTTTCATTTATATTGTTTATAATTTATTTATACATTTTCAGGTATAGCAAATGTGAACTGTACATAATGGACTGTTTTGTGTTGTACTGTGTTTCAAGAATAAATTATATTTTTGTTGCTTTCCTGTCTCCAAAGGGTTATGTTCTCCAGACATGCTACCCCAATTTATGCAGTAATTGCATTGCTGGAAAGAGCTGTGTAAAATGAGCACGTGTTAATTGGATGTGCTACTGAAAATCCGTTATGATTATATGTCTGCATGACACAAGTCTCATTGTGGGAGATCACGGTTTATGACCTCTGATATGAGGCAGAGTGAGGGGTGTGGATATGAAATCTGCATCACATGTAACTGGGGAGTGTTCCTAAGAAAGAAAACTTTTAGGATTTGAGGTTTTCATGCCAGTGAGTTTGAGTATGGTTGTCTTGCTGCCTCCATCCTGATGATGTAGGGAGCAAGGAATCCTGAAACATTGAAAAGTCCTACCAGACTACACATTGCTATAACCCAGAAGACAGCCATGAGTGAAAACCATGTTTATATATGAACTGAAGATGCATAACTCGGCATTTACGTGTAAAAGACAAGCTGATGTTGATTAATTTCAAACGAAGTGTATATTTTTTTCTTATACTGTTATAGGTTCAAGTTTTGGATGTGTTTGAGAATGTAAAGTTCTTTCAACTTGTGATGGAAAAACATGGTGCTGGTATGGATCTGTTTGAATTTATTGATAGGAAACCTTACTTGGATGAGACTCTTAATAGTTACATCTTCAGACAGGTAATGACAAATTTTTCATCCATTTCTGATAAATGTGTTCCATATATACTGTAAGAGGATGATTAAAAGAGAGGGGGGGGAATTAATCACACAATGAACAATATATATTGGTTTATTTAACAGCTCTTCATCACTGTGTAACATCTTTAGTTACTGAATATAATGGTATTAATTTGTAGATTTATATTTGAAATATGCCATGTTGCACTGATATTCTGTTCTGTCTTCCAGATTGTCTCTGCAGTAGACTACCTCCATTCCTTACAGATACTTCATCGAGATATCAAAGATGAGAATGTGATCATTAATGAAAGGTTTCATGCAAAACTAATAGATTTTGGTTCAGCAACTTTTATGAGTGAAGGCCGACTCTTCTCTACATTTTATGGCACCGTAGAATACTGCAGTCCTGAAGTGCTAGCTGGGAACAAGTATGTGTAATAAGATTTATACATTTAGAAGCAGTGAAATGAAAATATGTTGGATAATTAAGTGATGGGATCCCTAAATATATTATATATTTTTCATTTCTACTTTAGTCACATAAACAATTGATGCATAATTGTATTATTACATTATATTTTACTATAATGTTAAAGAAATTAATAGAAACAAAATTTTCTTTTATGTTTATAATTATTAACTGAGTTGCTGCTGTATGTGTGTGTTTGCGCGCATGCGCATGTGTGTATGTATATATAAATCTATGGGCCAAGTGGCCATGGCTAAATAGACCATCAGAAACCTTTTTTGATTGGTAAAACAAATGCTTCCGTTGAATGTCTGTCAGACATTTAAATGCAGCAATCTCTCACCTAGTACAGATTTAAAGTACTGTTTCTGTGGTTTGGGATTTGTATCTAGTTTTTCTAACTATTTTTGGTTTTATGCATCCGTGATCTTTAATTTGTATACATACGTAGAAGTTCAGTGGCTTTAACATCAAGAATTCCACATTTACCATTTCTGTGTGTCATCTTGTGATGCTTTCGTATTTTTAAGTCTACTGTTATTTAGCTGACATATCTTTTGATTTTAATGAAGGAACAGCTGACTTGATTAAACTTTGATGAATGTCCAACCACCACACAGTGAATGAATATAGGGGATTACAAGTAATTCTCTATGGATTATTAATCTTGATATTTGGCAGAAATTATTGATTACCTTCATACTCTGGCTGCTTTTTCTCCTGAGATGGAGCTCATGGTACACATTGAATAAGAGAGACTGAGGGTTATGATCCAGACTTTTGTCATGCAACCAGAGTAAGCCATGGAAGAAAGACCACCGAGCTGTAATGTTGTGAGCCGTCTTTGACGGTGACAGAGCTAATTTGCTTGTGTGGCAGAATAAATGTGTTAAAGTAACTGTTATTTCTATTATGTACTGTGTTCATACTTTCATATTTCCTGCAGATATGAAGGTCCAGAGTTGGAGATGTGGTCACTAGGAGTTACACTTTATGTGATGACATTTGGAGAGAACCCATTCTTTGATGTGGAAGAGATCATGAGGGCTGAACTGCATCCTCCATGCAAGGTGTCAGATGGTAATGATTTTTTATATGGAACATTTGTGAAATATAGCAACTTTTGGGCAGGGTGTAATTTAATGACTGTGAACCATTGCTATGCAGAGTTGATCGAGTTGCTACACTGGATGCTAGCAAAGGACCCACAGGATCGCTGTAAGGTGCAGCAGCTGGTAGGTCATCACTGGGTCAACCTGGATGTGGATATGAGTAGCTACTGCTTTCAGGATGTTGTATCATGTCGTAAGTATTTATATGTTGATGCTCTCCTTATACCCATATAAAGCAAAAGATAAAGAAACACCATCTGTCCTGTCTTTTGTGGTATTTATCTTTTGTTCTTGGTGAATGCTAGGATAGTACCTTGATATAAGTCATGTCTGCATTCTTTCCAGTGATTCTAAGTAAATTTCTCATCTCATTTGACAGTATGTAACTCCCTCAGTTGATAAAACATTTATCAATGAACTACAAGTACAAGATGGTACAAAATTTCTTGATTTATATTAAGAGATCATAAAAGAAATCAAGGCATTTGGACTTGAATGTAAGGAATAAATTTGAATGGTACTGTCATGATAATATAGCTAAATGAAGTTGAAGTACTGCCTATAGAATATAGAAAAAAACTTCATTGATTGGCCAAGAACAAAATGACTGGGGCAGGACTTTCGTACTAAATCAACTGAACTGGCCAGCAGGTCTGCTACATGGTGTAGATATTAGTGATATCTGAGAGTCAGCATAAATCACACATATTGTATACTTCCAGATCCTCAGGAAGCGCATCCACCTGTTTACTATGCTGAGTACAGGTGCGACTCAGCTAATGACTCTCTGTCAAACCATTTTCCCATTACGGAATCATCTTCAGCCATGCTGTCAAACAATAATGGGGATTCCAATCCAGATGACCGAACTGTTGGCAGTTCCAACTCACTTGGGAGTCTCACGACTGTTGAAAACTTTGAGACTGAGGAAGATCTGCATGGTCAGCACCAAGGACATGGTAAGTGGTGTACAAGGGAACTCGTATGCCCTCTGTTTGCAGAAAGAAAATATGTTTTTTGATTGTATAATGACATAAAGTTTGCAGAACAAGAACCAGCAGTGGGACTTTGGCAGATGAATGTCAAATACTTATTTCACGTGTGTGCATTACTGGTTTCAAAAGAAGTTTTGGTAGTCTTACTACAGTGGGTGTTCTAGTGTGTGGCTGTACATAAAAATTGAGACTGATTTTTAAGATTGATTTATGAGCACTGTTTTGAGCCTAGTTAACCACAAGGCTAATATTGCAATGGTTTGTCTCCTTTCGAAATAGTTGCTTTACAGGCATACTTTGACCCTGACATACATATCTATGTTGTGCATGTGTTTTATATGTGTACATAGACAGACACAAAATTTTCATTGAGAAAAATGGAGGTTGCAGAAGTGTGTTTTCACAGATTGGCCACAGAATGCAGAATGATGCATAGTAGCTCTATTGAAGATAAGAATGGGGAATAACAAAACTACCAAGAGAAATAGCTAGACCAGTTGGGGATAATGTCTGAAAATTAAATCCCAAATATGCTGTATCAGTATAAATCGAAGGATAGAATATGTCAAGAATGCTCGAATAAAAGTCGAATGTAACAGTTTTAATTCTTGTAATCAGAACAAGACAAGATGGTGGTGGTGGTGACCATCATATTCTTATTTAATGGAACATTCTTTGTATTTGCATTGCATCCATGTTACACTACTTCTTGTCGTAACTAATTTCATGGAACAAGAGTCCTTGAAAGGGTAATAATTATTCAGCTGCTCAAATTCCCTATCTTTTATGGAACCTGAACTACAAAAATCTCTCTATACATCACATAAGTTTTATCTGGCTTTATGTAAACAAAAAGAAAGCTCCATCAGTCCCCTTCGTTGGGATTTAAATTTCCTGCTGCTCGTTTAATGCTAGGTATTTAAATTTGCAGTGATTCCAATTTCCTGGTATTTGTTTATGCCAGTTCTTCTTTTCAATTATTTGCTATAAAACACTTTGTGAGATTCACATGGAATTTGCTTTAAAGATCAAACATTAGTATTCTCATGACTTCTATTTGGTGACAACATGATATATAAAGACTGGATCATTTGAAATTGAGAGCTTGCTTTGATGTCACCTGGAATGAATGATGTTTTGCCTCACGAGTCAGATTTGGTATTCAAATGCAAGGGTTTAGGCTGATGCTAGTATGTTGCATTTGAGGTTGAGTGGTGGGGCTTCGAATTGTGAAGTCTGTGTTTGTGGTAGTGAATCTTGGAAGGAATTTTAATTTTTGTTTACATGGTATATAACTAAGTGTCTTTCCTGTTATTGCCTGATTTAGAATTAAGACAAGAGAAAATGGAATATTCTACTATTAATGGACATGCCTCAGTTTCTTTATCAGCTAAAGTCACACCTGGCAAGGTGACCCACTGTCAAGAGGAGGAGGAGCTGGTGGACTGTACAAACCAACCGCAGGTTACTGCAGACGATAACATTAGTGTTGCTTCAGCTGAAGCCACAAATTCCTGCATGCCTGCAAATGAATTGCTTCAAGAAGACATGTGGGACCAAGATTGCTATTATGATGAGCAAGACAGCTTCTCATGAGAACGAGTGATGTTTGTTATGGCAACAACACCATTTTAATTGAAGAACTAATTCTTGTAGCAGTTCCTTGTTATCTCATTAATAGTTGAAGGAAGGAATGATAAGTTATTCTGTATTTTAAGATCTTTTTTCTGTATTATGACCAGATATTTTTAAGAACAAGTATTTCCTTAACAATGGATTTAAAAATTTATTTTTCTGAATGAATGGAATAAGCATCCCTTTATTTGTAGTATATCATATGTCATGTTTGTTTTCAGCAGGTCTGTTTAAAATCTCACAGAAATGTATTACTTTAAGATATTTGTCATTATGCTAAAGGAAAGGTAGCTGATTGATAGTTTGAATATTGTCATATGTAATTTGGTTCAGTTTCCAAATTTCATCACTTTCTGAAGCAGTGGAAAGTTATAATTGATTGGGTTTTGTCAATAGATGCCAGAGTCTCTCAAGTAATTGTCTCCCTCCGTTAGGAAGAAGAGATATATTTTTATCCTTAGTGAGTTGCAACCCATCGCTTCATTCATTGGGAAGTTGCTTTGTCAGTTCCAAGCTTGATGTTCATTTGAAATTCACTAAGCATATTAATTCATGTTAATTTTTTTTGTCACATTATATGAAATTACTTTGATTTTAGCAGAGCTGGGCTTTAATGAAAATACAATGTATATCACTTCATTTTTCAGTGATATACTTTTCAGTAGGTTTGTTTTGGGAACTCTTGGTTCAGTTTAAGGAGTTCATGCCAGTTCAGTTTTCTTTTACCGTAGGCCTTTGTTTACACTAAACCTATCAGTGAAATTGTATTTGTTACAGTGTCATGATGAGAACGTACTACTTTGCACATCCTGCCTTGTTGATATTCTGAATAGGGTCATTAACTGTGTAGTAATGAATCTCTTGATTATTTTCAAAAGAGAGGAACATTGTTATTTGCTCAGTTTTTGTAAATATTTATAGTATGCGAGAGAGAAAATTACAGCCTGCATATGTGAAACAAAATTATTTGGCCCCAAACAAATCATATATTTAAAAAATGTCAAGAGTTTTTACAAGGAACTTGAAATAACTATCTGGTCTGTTCGTTTGGAGCCAGACAGAATTTTTCTTGCTGTCATCTACAGTCTCCATAAGGGTCTCCTAATATGACCTTCACTCAGAGAAGTTATGTGGTTGATTACAGAAAGCTGTAATCCTTTATGTTTATTTTGCAAGCTTTATGTTTTGTTTTTTGCAAATGTCTTTGTTTTATTTAAAATGTCAATTTCTTAGAAATACTGGTGTCCGAAGAACATATTATAACTAGCCATTATTAAAATAAACACTGCAAGAGTACTCCATACTATTAGTAATTGGTGTAATTATGTGAGTACCTGTGTGTCCTCACAAATTCATTATTTTGGTGCCAAAAATAGGTACACTAGTATTTTACAAATTAGAGGTTGCATTTTTTGTAATTATGTGGTTATTATTTTAGAAACAAGATGAATGGATGTGGGGTGTCATTTCTGCATGTAATGCATATAACATGACTGAAGTTACGCAAATTGAATTGTAATCTGTCTTGTTTATGTTATGTTTTTGTTACAAAGTTACACGAATGTTCAGTTGTAGTTCTGTGACTTCTGTTTCTTGTATTTTGTTTCCATAAGAGTTCTTTTTTTGTATAAATAGGACTGTGGTGAGTTTAAGACTACAAGAGGTGGCAGGTTGTAATGTTTCATAAGTCACTGGTTTCCAAATTGTGGTTTAGGTCCACTTTATTTAGGATTGTTATATATGCTGATTGAAAGTAAGATACAACCTTTGTTCTTGTGTTGACAATTAGAGAAATTTTCTGCAGCTTCCTATAAATATAGAGTTTTAAAAAAATATATTTTGTTTTGCCCATTCTGAATGTGAAGAGATATTAGATTATGTTTTTGGCGTGGTCATATCTAAAAATAAATTCTGCCATTAAATGCAACTATTGATGTGGGAATTACATTAATTTCAATTAGTGAGTGAAAATTCTGTTTGTGATGAGTCTTGGTTGGTAAGTTCACCCGCATTGTTATTAAACTTGTGCGTACGTACATTTTTAAACTTGCAAAGACTCGGTTCCTGTTTAAAATCTAGCGACTCAGTGTTATGTGTTGAGTCTTTCTTTGGTTGTGAGACTTCTGAACCATTTCAAGAAAGAAGTTGTAGTAGAGCCTATTCTTCACAAATATTACTACAGGGAAACTGCATAAAACTTTTCATAACCAAATGTTCGTTTTATTCAGCCACGCCAAGGTTTCTTATTTTCTAAAACCAAGATACAGTTGAGTTGCTATGAAATTTAAATCCTAAATTTGTATTTTCTTTTTTTGCAGTCTGTCCTACACTATAAGAACCTGCTTCCCTTCTAGAATTCAACAATACGCAGCAATATTTATGTAAATACAAAGGTATATATTGTGTTTTGTATAATTTCAGCTACATTGGTATTTCCAGATGGTAACAGTCAAGAAATTTGTTTCAGCTAAATATTTAATTCTAATATTTTATTTAAGAAACGTAATGTTTTATTACACTGTTGTATAATACTTGATTTTGATTTAAGGGGTTTATTTTATAATATCTGGAACTCCTGTTATCATTCTTATCCAATTCTGTGTTTACTAGGTAGAATATGCCATGAATCCTGTTGCCAAGGGTACTACTGTTTGATGCCAATTAATTCAGGAATTAATAGTGTTAATGGGAATGTTCATGACATTTCATTTGTAGTTGTGGTTATGTTTCAGTACCTTTACTATATGAAGTTGCGTAATTTATATTGCAATAATAGCATGGACTGATTTAATGTGATGACTAGAAAAGTTCTGGAGAGAGTATTTTAAATTGGGTGTTTGTGATACGATTATAAATTTTTCCACAAAAATCCATTTTTTTTAATTTATGGATGTTATTTGAACAATGCAAGATAAGTTTGGACAACAGCTGGTAAAGATAATGAAGAATTTACAAAAGGAGTTTAGATTTGTATTTATTTGTGAAAGGACTTGATAAAAACAATTTAAATAAGTAGGTGAGAAATAAAGTAATACTTATTTAAGCAGTTCTAAACAAAATATAAATTACAAACAACCATAAATTATGACTAAGAATTGAAAATTGAGGGGAGAAACAATTGAGGCACAATTAGATGATTGTCTTTTACATGGCGGTCGTTATGAACAAATTTTTATCTGAAACTTTATATTCAGATTCTTATAGTGTTAAAAAAAATTCTTAAGACATTTTCATGCCACAAGAGAAAGTATTGCTAACATTGGCTCATTAGCATGAGTTCCAAAAACGTGAAGTTTTATGATGTATTCCAGATGGTGTATTTTACCGGATTCAGCAGTGAACAAAAATCAGAAAACTCAAAATTGTGACAGTTGTTTTGAAGGATATAGCAAAATTTTTGTGTCTCTTTCTCTGACTTACATTCTCTGAGATATAGAGGGTGGTGGCTGTCAGCATCAAAACCAGAAAATTTTGAATTATAAAACTACTTGCTAACAACTTCACATTGTATGGTAAATAACAACAAAGAATATGTGTCAGTATGAGACAACCAGTCAACTGAAAATGGGGAGTAGTGCAGACTTCCAAATTTTCATATTAAATAATACCTCAAACATTGGACAGTGCCCACTAAAATTTTATTGTGGCCTAACGTGATTTGTTGTTTACATTTTCAATATTGATTGAAGTAAAGGATTTGTTAAATTGTTGAACTGGTATTTTTGTGTTGGCTTTATGGTGGTACCCCTGATTTACAGGATGATTGGCGTACAGTAAAGTGCCTTTGAAGGATGTTCTGTGTTTGTGCAGTGTTATTGATGTAAGTGCGGGGGAAACGAAGATGTGTCGAGACATTGTACAGTTAGATCTGATGTAAAGACCTTTAATTATTCTTATGTTAAAAAATTTTACTTTAAAATTGGATATTGTAGTTAAATTGTTTATTCTTTACCTATACGTCCTAAAAGATCCTTAAGATGTTCTTAGCAGAATAAGAGTTTGAATGTGTGTAGAAAATAGTTGTGCACAAAAGCATTGTTTCATTAATTTTGACAGTAATAACTGTGCAAATTTAAACTCCCATCTTAGTACATGGACACGACTTGTCCTTGTTTTTGCACACTTGTGAATCATTTCATTGCTAGAGAATTAACTACATTTTTAATCAAAACCCAGAGCAAATATGAACAGGAATTTTAAATTCAAAGTTGGAACTTTGATTTAACTGGACTGCTTGAAAAAATGAATGCAAATCAGAACAGAAACAATAAATGCAAAACATATGTGATGTGAATTAAACTGAATTTCTGATGAGACTGAGTAAGATCGAGTCAGTGTTGATACTTAGTAACGCTGGGGAGACTCAAATCTGGTACCTACAGCATACAAGCCTAAGCATTACCAGTACACTGCCTTACTTCGAAATGTTATTAGACTATAACAAATATTTTAAACTAGATAAAACTAGCTTTACGAAGCACAGGGTCGTGCATATTTTGAATATGTCACCGCATATTTAAATTGCTCATACGTAAATTGGCACATCCTTTCTGGTGGTGTTTTTCGTACATTAGGTACGGAATTGACGATAATGAAGGTGAAGCCATGATGTGCATGTATAATTTGAATAAAGCGGGCTTGCGTACAGTGGGTGTGGTGGTACCAAAATAAAATAAACAGAATTGTACAAGAAAAATCAAAGGTTAAAGAGAATTTAGGAGACCTAGAAGTAGCTGGAAGGATAATACTAAATGAATCTTAAAAAGGGCAGGGCTGGATTCCTTTGACTCAATGTATGGTCCAATAGGTGGCTCTTGTGAAGACGGTAAAAGGCGGAGAACTTCTTGGTCAGCTGAGCGAAAAAGTTTGCTTTTCAAGGACTGTGCTCCAAGTACGTAGATCAACTACCTACCTGTGAAATTGTATTATTTACCAATAATTATGAGAAAACTGCATTACAATTCACGAGTTTTTGTTGATAGCATGTTATATGCTCCTAGCCACTGCTTTCGGTCCCATTGACTTCATAAATGCACGCAGTGTTTACTTTAATTTAAAATGTTTAAATTATCAGGAATTGTGGGTGGGAAAGTTTACGCCGATTTAGTTAGCTTCTGGGTTGTGGAGGGTGGGGGTGGGACAGTCAGCATTGGTAGAGTCTGCGTGCTCCCTTTTAGTACGCGCCAAGCCATTGGCGTAAGTAGTTGTTTTGTGCGCGCCGTTTCGTTTTTGTTTCCGTATTGTGATCATTACGACTCCATCTCAATCACAGAATGGTGGAGAAATAACTTACCAGCTTATTATTTGTGACTTTTATTACAGGTACAATAGTGCTCTGAATTATTGTTGATAAATATTATTAAGCGTGTGTGATTTTTGATGGAATAGAATGTTTGAATGAAGTGTTGATAAACTGCGTGGCGGGAAGGGCGATTAGAAGTGAAAACATCAGAAAACGAATCGTGTACGAATTCCCGAAAAACTGTTATCATGTTTTCATTGGAAGTCACGCTCCTAAAATGCATATATGTCGTGTGTATAGTTAAAGGGTAAAATACAAACAATATAGAGAAACTTTTCTTCGACAAGCGATTTGCAGGCGACTGGTCGAATTGGTAAGATATATGGGGCCAGAAACGTGACAAGTGAAAAGTTTGTTCCTTCGTCCACTAAATTTTTAATTTATATTTGTAAGTGAAATGAAGTGAGTTTATTATACAATTACATCTAGGAAGATGAATGTTATTTTTAAATTTTACGGGAGCTGGAACTCGAATGGTTAATATTCAGTGGGCGAGGCTTATCTAATCACAAGAAAATCAGCAAGATGATGCTCGGAGACTTCGAATTTCATCAGTGGTGAGTAAATAACCATCATTACGATAAACTAAGACCCTTGTCTAATGGATAAATGCAAAATGTTTTACGTTTTGGAACTTTTTCAGGTTTTTCAGTTAGTTTTATGTGTGAGTGTATATTTCAATATAGGCCTGTACTAATTTACTCGATGGAAGCAAGTTTTAACAACCTTGAAATGACACGTTTTTTCCCAGAGGTATTGTTTATCGTTTGGTACAGGTCATACAACGTCCCGCGCCGTAGCCGCGCGGTCTGAGGCATCATGCTTCGGACCGGCGATACGGAATGCGCGATGGTTCGAGTCTCGGGGGAGAATAAATTTTTTCATGAGCTTTCGACCAGTGTATGGGACCGGTGCATCGTGAGGAAATTGGGGAGCTACAATGAGTAGCGTAATCCGGTCAGGACAGCTAGCAATGGCTGGGGGTTCGTCGTGCTGATCACACGTCACCCTGTATCTGGTTGGATGATCATTCACCTCTGCTTAGGCATGTGAACGTGAGGCCAGCAGTCAAGCTAGTCGGCTTTGGCTCTCAGAGGGCTGTTACGCCAATTTAATTTAATTTAACAGATCTTACAACAGGACTAGGTTACATTACAAATAATATAGATTTATTTTTATCAGCCCCTCTACACAGACAACATGATTATAAATTTACAGTTAGTTTCGATACAGTTGTGTTTATTCCGGGATGTATTGTCGGTGAGAATGCAAGTAGCAACGTCAACATTATAACATTATTATAAATTACAGACGTGTGAGAAAACGCGGCGTTCGTGTTGACATTGTAACAAGTTGCGTTGTAGCCTGTAATTAGAATAATCGAAAGACTACTCGGTGGATGACTCATTTGACTGCCTTTAGGAGATGGCTGGTACACGTCTTGCAACATAGTGCATTTCTCTGCGTGTCTGTTCACCCAGACTTCGAAATAAAAGATAAGCGGATCTTTATTCTTATTATAAACATACCAGCCACCTACTAAAGCCCAGTAGCGTTAAAATAATTAGAAAGTCAGAATTATTATATCTGGGAAAAAATTTAAATCTATGGATTGATGGATAAGTGGATGAATCGTAGGTTGTTTAACGACGTTGTTTAAACTGCATTGGTTCTTTAGAGTCGATTGATATAAGCGTTTGGTGAACTTGAAAGGATTAGGTAGAAAGCGTTTGTGGCCTATCCCAAAACGTACCTTGAAGGACTAAGGAAAATTACGACATTATCAGAGAGGAAAGCGTAGCTTTCTTTTCTGCGAAACTTCGAGTTGACGCTGAGTTTATTGTAGGGGCGATTACGTGTTGTAACAGAATGTCGCGTGAGGAATTAGTTGCAACGACTAGTCTAAATGGAACTTGCAAGCCTAGTGTTATGCAAGGTGGCGTTGCTCAGCCGTAGTAATTCAGCGTATAAAATGTTGATCTTACCTGTATTTCGACGATTTTAAAACATTATGCATAATGGGGCCAAGAGTGAGTGAATAGGTGAAATACAACAAAATATACACATGATAAAAATGTTTGTTAAAATTATTAATTTCTCTTGGTTTAATTGGGTCAGTTATAATGATTAAATCTAAAGGCAACTAAGTTGAATTCTGGGGCGACAAAATATTGCCATTTTCGTATGATAAATTCTGTTTCAGAAATTACAGATGAAGAGACCAGTATTATGTCTAAGTAAAAAACATAAACTGATTTGTGGATCTACGTGAAAGAGTACAAAATTATTTCCATAAAAGCGGCACTAGTACCTGAGAACTTCATATTACCCATGTTGTTAAATTCTAACTCCGCCCTTTTACAATGATAATTTTTGCATTTTGTAACACTAACCATAAGGACCTTGTCCTGAGCCATTTGAATCTAATTCACATCCTCAAATATTTTTATTTATTTAACGTCTGTTTTAATTTTAAACTCGCATTAAACATAGGTTATCCAAATGGCCCCTTTCCTTAAAATTCTGAGACAAAATGTACGCATTTTCATCTCCCCAATGCATACTACATGTTCCGCCCATCTGACCCACCAGCATTTGGCAAGCTCGCCCTATCTTTCTCTCGACTAATCCGATTTGTTACGAATTCATACTTCTAGAAATGAAAAACTATAACCAAATACGAACGCAAATAGACTTCTTTTTTTGAACTTTTCTAATTACCTACAGACGGATTAAAAGTCAAGTTAAGTGACTGGCTAAAGTGTCTCATAAGGTCTGCTTTGGTGGAAATAAAACCCAAAATCTCAGAAATGATTATGATCTAAGGCCGGATTCGACCCGAGGACCGTCAGTTGCACACCATTCCGTTCCCTGAACAGCCACTCGTTATTTTATAGCAAGACATCGACTAGCGAGCCCCTGGCGCAGTTTCTCTATTTCCGGGACCATCGAAAGCAACGTGAAGTTGTGATTATATTACACAGGAGCAAAGTTCAGGGACAGATGACTGTAGGAATGAGTCAGTAATTGTTATATTTCTTTAGAAGTCGTGTAAATAAATAATTTATTTGTCAGGTGTCAGCATGTGCGAGCATAAAAAGCAAACTTTATATGATGCGTGGTCTTAGTCTTCGTTGTATATTTTTCAGCCACGACTGTTTATTCGTGAAGGAAACTGATAGCCAGGCGGTTTGGTTGGTCGAATGCAGTGGGCAGAAATTCTACCCTGTTTTACTGATTATTCGCGACTCACGCGTGAGTAGATGACGGAGCCTGATATGTGATGACTGAGTAATGGAGAAATTGTTAGGAGCTGAGGGAAAACCCTGCAGGAAAACGATTGTAGGTTATAATAACAACTCTGTCCAATTCAGATTATATTTTTTGACGTAAATACGTCTATAAGGAAGGGTCATTCGGCAAAAAAGGGGAACGAAAATGTGTAACGAAAAAGTGTAACCTGGTTACCTAGGAAATGTCGTGTTTACTCGGCATTGTTGTTACCTAGGAAACGTCATCTGTTTACTCGGCATTGTTGTTACCTATAAAACATTACCTTACATTACATTACATTACATTACTTTACATTACTTTACATTACATTCAGCTACCACAGACCCATCTTAAGCGTAACTAATTCAAGTTAAATAAGCAAAGTCTTAATCAAACTTTACTCAATTGTAAAGCATGTATAAAGGAAATATTTAGAATAAAGCCAATATATAAACTTCCTTTCCGTATAGACGTATTTACGTCAAATTCTCCGGAACTGTGGTTCCACTATCCATAAGGATCTGGGTTACTATGGGTTTCACCTAGAGAGAACAAAGTAAGCTTGTGTGTTGAGGTCTAGCTAACGAAAAACATTGTAATACAAGTGCTTATTATGTTAGTGAACTTACTTATAACAACACTGCATTATGTAAAACCTTTATTGTGAAGTCTTTATAATATTATGAATTGTACTTGTATTTTATAACTTATTCCACATTTAGTTTTCATCTGACCAACTTACGTATACACGGAATATAATAAAGATGAGTTTACATATGTTGAATTAATTAAAAGCTTTCGTACGATACACGTAGAAGTTTATTTACAATGTTGAGTAAAGTTGCTCTTAAATGAACTGTAGCGAGTGACACTCGAATTAATTGTGGTGGAAATGTCCTAGGATATAACATGTAAATCAAATATATTTATTTGTACAGTCTATAC